TATCATGTACCAAACATAAGCCAATTGCAACACACCAGTCACACCATATAGCTAAGACTACAATTACTCATTTAAATAAACATTTCTAACAACAACCGATACTTCGTAACTATTAAAATTACCGGTACGCATCGTTAACGGGTTTACAGTTTCAGTACATAAACAGTCTCGCATTAATTCTAAAATTGGCATATGATTTACATCTGTATTATGAAAATGGATTTAACCAAGAACCAATCAGAAAATTACTTTATTTCCTTTACGTTTAATACTTATCGGAAAAGCTACAACAATGGACATTTTCTTCTGAATTTATCTCGCCAACAATATATAGTCTCAATGCAGACACAACTAATGGAATTATAATTATGCCTCCTTTGTGTTTATCTTGCAAAGGAAAGATTATATAGTGTGATTTAGATTCAGTTTCTCTTACTCTTTAGCTAGATGAAACCATTATGAGAGGAACCGTTAAAATCACATTAAGTTTTGAAACCGCAAAACTTCATTTTGTGTGACCGATTAAGAAAATTGAACCATATTAAAATGCCATTTTCAATGCATAGTGTTTAATATTTTAAGAAAATTTATTATCATTTCTATTGCGCAATATTTTATTTCGATTGCTTGCAAAACGCTGATCAAGAAAAGAGATATCTTTAATTTCAGTCTTTAATAAGGTTATTATAGTAACTGTTCCTTTATGCTGTAACATTATTGTTCCATATCTTCACTGCATTATGTTTACTAGTAATACATGATAGCTTAATGAATTGCTTGCATTCAGAAAGTGTGCAAGAAAGTAAACATTTTGAATAACTATTTATCGAATGATTAGATTTTCCTGAACTAGAACTTTTTATCTAATGATTGGATTCTCATGAACTAGGTTCTAATCTTAGACAGGCTAATTAAATAGCTTAAAAGATATTTTAAATTACGAAATCAGATGCCAAAACTTTTTTTTTAATAAACAACCTTCTTTTTTGTTTTTGACGGATTCAGATTTCTGACTCCCAAGATTTGGAGTGTAGCCGAAATCTAGGAAATATGGTCCCAATAGTTTAGGCTGTAATTTAGACTCCTGAATGTTAATTTACCTTTATGAGTATTTCGCTATACAATGAACACTTTTTCACGCAAATCCACACAAAAATTACGCAATTATAAAATTCATTTATCCATAGATGATTCCATTTAAAATCATAATTATTTATTATTTTTAAAGTTTCAGTCAATAATAGTTCAAAAAATTTTGAATTGTATGATATACAGTTTTTAAATCATTTTAAAGTATTTTATTTCTATTGATAAAATACAAAATTCAAACGAAATATCGGTTAAATTGCTTTATAGTAATAAAATATTTAACTATACAGTTTTTTTTTAAATTTTGATAACTCTGAAACTATTTTCCCGATTTCTCATTTTTGTTGTTACTAAAGTATTTTATACCCAAAAATACATATTTTTTTCAAACTTAAATAAAAGGCAGAATTCATGTACTGCTTTTCAAACTTGGCTAATTAACATGGTTTAGGGCAATATAATAAGCCATATTTTAAAACTGTTCAGGGAAGCATTTTTTAACGCTGTTTGAAACAAAGACTAAGATTGCTGGCGATCAAATGTCTATATTTCGTCTGTTATCTAGCGGTAATTCAGTGAACTTCTAAAATACCTATCTGGAACCTATACAAAAGAACAGTTTGATGTAAAAATATTATTTGGAAGAAATTTGGTGATTTATCAGAATATTTTATCTTGCAAAGTATTTTTGCTCCTGTTTTTCCTTTCCTTTTCCAAAATAACTCGCTATCTTTCTAAACTTAAAAACTGTAAACTATTTTTTTTACTCATGATAAATCAAACAGAAATTATTACAAAGTATATCCATTCAATTAAACGCACGATATTAAATCTTATTTAAATACAAAACAATCTCACGAGAAAGTTTTTCTACTGATCTCGAATAAAAAAAAATAATAATAATAATAATAAAAAAACTGAATCGAATTTCTGTATACCATGAAATAATACACAGTCACCGCTTCAACCACGTAAGAAATTCTTTGTAAATATCCCTGCTTTTGTAATTTCCTATTCATAGTAAGATAATTGCTTAATACCGTCATGGACCGATATCACCAAAAAAGGCTATCTACCAACCTTTGTTTGAATATTCCGAAAAATAACGAAGAATGAGGGTAAAAAATGCCGGAAATTAACGTTCCCTATATAATTGACCGTATCCGCGTTTTTTCCCCTTCAAAAAACCCTGAACCCAATAGTTTTCGCATTTTTGCTTAGTATTAAGAAAAAGCTCTTTTTCTAAATTATTTTTCAGCGAGTTTTTTCTCTGCCTTTTTGCTCCTACGTCTTCCTTTTTAACCAACCTCTTGTATTAATCTTATCATGGGTGTGCCTATCACCCCCCCAAAAAAAATGTAAATACCATATGACACATTAATTGAGTTTCTATAATACGTCCTTGAACACAGCTTCTTTTATTTTTGCAGGTATGTATCGCGGCAGCAAAATTAGCTGGGATAAAATGTTTACACAGAGAAACTTCTTGAGAAGATTAAAATGGGTTTTCTCGCAGAATTAAAAAAAAAAGAAGATATCTCATTGTTTTTCGCTAATTAAAAAATACCTGCCATAAAACAGAAAAATGGTGTAGAAAAAAAATTTACACAATCTTCTGTAGGCTTAATTTTTTTTTTTGAAAAAATTGATACATCGTAATACCTTCTTGAAATGCATTTTTAGAATTAATTAAATCTTTGCGAAATATTTTGGACTTGGTTGATATTGTTGATTAAATTTTGGTAAGTACTTTGTGAAGATTTTAATTTTTAATATATGCTGCTGGATTTTGAGGGTGTTGATCATTAGATTCATAATTTTAGTTTTAAAAAATATCAAAGCACTTCGTTTGATATTTTCAAGAAACATTTAATTGAAGTTTCTAAAACTCTCAGATTAGTAGAAATGTTTGTACCCCGGAAAAAAAGGAAAACTGGTTATTAAAATTTGGTCAAACGTATCTTGTTTTTGGTATAAGTAAATATTCTTAAGAACCAACACTTATTAGTGGTTAAGAACAACTATACAAGACTATATTTTATATCTGGAAAAAGTAAATAATGGTCGATAGTTTACGATTAAAGAGAGAAAAATCCTTTACTTATGAAAAAAATCGAAGAATAAAATTCATGCGTAAGGACTATTTTCTTTTAATGAAGTTTTGATTGAGGTACATTTTGGTAACCAAGTTGTGAGCTTGATTTTTAAAATGATTAAGTATTCGGCAACCGGTTCCACAATCCAAAAGGTAGCTAGTGTAAATAACTAGCATGAAAAATATATTTTTTCTTTCAATGAGGTTTTTAAAACAATATATATCTTGCATCTACGCCTAATAAAAATTAATTTATATCAAAACAAAATAGGCAGAAAAACACGCTATAAAATTTTTAATTGGTATTAGTTTACTGTTGTTAAAAATTTTAATTTATTAATAGCGGAGCTGGTCCTTTGCCCGACAACTCAAATACCCGTCTACTTTTTTTCGACAGCTGGTTTTAACGACAATTTATTTTTCTGACGGATACGTTCGTCCGACCGGGATGGAATGAAATCAAAATTAGTATAAGATTCTCTGTTGGCAGCTGTTTAACCATTCAAATAAGGCTGGGATAATTAGGAAAGAAAGTATGAGCGATGGTTAATGATTGTATATTGAGTAACTGTTTATGTTATAAACCTTTCGCTTTGCTTTCTAAAATGCTTGGGACCTTTCACAATTATAGTTAATTCTGCTAAGCATTAAAAGGTGTCCCGTGTAGTAAATGGTGACAGGTGCACATTATATCTGTCGGATCACAAAGTCCTTCATGTTCCCATAACAAATAATACCTCTGGGGGGTACTGCGTTGGAGATTGTAATTTTGACTTGAAACAGCGAACAACCAATCTGTGGATAAATGGATGTATGAATGAATCCGCCCTTTAAATGGGTGTGACGTATGGGTGTGTAGAAGTCAAATTCTTGGCCATACATGGCCCCACTGGAAAACAAGAGCAATCGGACTCCCTCTGCCATAATGGCCGACGGCAACAACATTAAAAGGTGTATTTTTATTCTTTTTGTGTTTTTAATTTTTTTTAACTTTTCTCTACTTATTTTTTTATTTATTTTCTTTCATTTTTTTTTTTCGTTTTTTGGAAATTTTTTTTCTTTTTGTTTTAGATTTACCCCTTTCTTTATTTTGTTTCCTTAGTTCTTTTTTCCTGATTTTTTAAAAATTTTTATTTATCTTTTTGCTTATGGATTCTCTGCTGTGAAATCACATCACAATGGAATATTGTGAGCAATACCACGCAAATAGTTCATAGTTATAAGATATTCCAATCCATTGCCAACGATATATGATCAAATAAGATTATTCCAATCTGCTATTATAGTGGATGTTCGGTTTTCTATTTCAGAGCGATATACTCTGATTTGCTGCATAATTAGTAATTTTCTAAAATTAATGATTAATCCGAACAATTATATCTATCAATAAGTTAGGGTTTTTGTTATTTTTTGTAGAGCAATTGTCTTATCGAACAAATGAGTTGCCGGGCAAACAAAACTGCCTGGCAAACCTATCTATCGGGAAAACGTACCTGTCGGGAAAATGAGCTGCGAGCAAACATGTCAGACAAACGAAGTCTGGATATAGAGCTGTCAGGCAACCGAGTTTCGAGAAAATGTACCTCATCCATTGAAAAAAAATTACTGTTTTTGAACCAAAAAAAATTATTTCGCGAAATTTTACATTCTATGAAATTTTTGTTTTATTGTATATAAATTGCAAAAGGTAAGGAATGTAAAACAGTTAAATGAATAAATATTAAACTTGTAAATTTGTATTTGCTGAATTAAAATATTAATTTAAATTTTTAATGTTAAAATTTTAATTTAAAATTACTCATCTTTTATTTTTCAGAACGCAAACTTTTTATTGGCATGTTGTCAAAAAAATGTACTGAAAATGACGTCCGTATAATGTTTTCTTCATTTGGAAGCATCGAAGAATGTACAGTATTGAGAGACACTAACGGACAGAGTAAAGGTAAATATTATGATAATTACTGACAGTTGATGTGTATTAATTTATACAAGATGTTTTGTAAAGACTTCCCTTAATGATTATTTTCAGTATCCTTATAAAAAATGAAAATAAAAAGTATACACATTGGGAACGCTAATTAATATTTAGGCAAGAGAAAAAAATGCTTTCAAAATCTGATAAATTATTCTTAAGAAAAGTGGTTTTAAAAAACATTAAAACCTATTTGATTGCGAGGGAAAATTTATTATATCGCCGATGGCACAGTTTATAATATAACCATAGCAGAAAAATAAGAAAAATAGCGCAAAAATAAAGTTCAAACAAAACATTATACAGAACACAAAAAAAGACTAATAACAGTAGGAAATATTCGAAGAATCTTACAGACCGTCTGATCCATTACTCAATGCATGGCAATGGAGTCCACAGAGCGGACTAAGAACTATGTTGAAGTAGTGTAGGAGCTTCAGGAGTCAGTCATGGTCACTGGCTAGCCTAAACTCGGCCACCAGTCAAGGCCATTTTTAGACAACAGATAATTTGTCTTTCTAAATTCTTTTAAGACATTTAAATTGCGAGGCTGGAGGCAGAAGTTGATAGAAGCTTATAAGAAACAACTCAATGTTTCCTCACTTTAAAATTAATTTGCAACCTCTTATGCGTGCATTTCATTATCCTCCAATTTTGATTTTCAAAATTATATATTAAGTGCGGTCTTTACTGACTACCTTCTATGACTAAATGGAGAAATTTTAAGTTATATCTTAAATATTTTTCGCTTGCTAAGTAAACGTTTCACTGCAACTTATAAAAAGATCCTTTTTTAACCGAATCCAACTATGCTGCATTAGGATACTTAGAGCTAAAAGAAAGTAACTTTAAAACATTAACATTTTCAGGAAATTGTGACAGGAATTCCTTTTGAAATGTTAACAAATTTGCCTGATCATAAAAATATTGAGGAATTTAAACTCTGATTTATAATTGATGCGATAAAAGCTATCAGGATTGTTTATGACCAGGATCTGGATTAAACATGAAAAAAGTGTTAACTTTAAATTTATTTGATGCTACTGATATTTTACTAAAGTTATTGTTCCATTTTTCATCAGAATCACTAAAAGAGCTTGATAAATATTCATAGTACTACCAAACCTATATAAAACTTTAGTTCTGAAAAAATTTAAATCGAGCTAATTTATAACCTATTTTCAGGAGATTATGGTCACTTATCAAATTTTAAGGAGATAATTATTTATTAAATAACTCTTTCTTTGAATCTAAGGAATAAATAATGTTTCTTTCAATTAAGAAATCTATTGGATTCTTCAGAAAAACTGGTTAAGAAAGACATTTTTTAATTATCCCACCATTATTTTAAAAATGCATGGATTATAATTAAAAGTAGAAAATGAAACTTTCCATTTTATACATTTCTTTGAAATTTAATTATATTTAACTATATTTTCAGTTTTAATTATTTGATGCAGACTAGTTCTTATGCATTCCACAAAAAAGTCCTTTTTGATTACTTCAAAAAACTGATATTTCAAGACATGAAATTTCACTTAATTAAATTTTGTTTAATTATTTTGATATTTAGTATAAATGAGAAGTTTCTAAGGCAAGATAAAACAACAAAATTATGCTAGTTTTTTTTTTCAAATCATCTAAAGAAATTACTTTTGAAAATACAATCAAATAAAGTTTATTAAACTTTGTAAAATTATTCTTAAAATAGGTATATTTTCATTAAATATTAAGATAAAATGAAATATCTTGAAATAATTTTTAATGGTCAATAGAAGAATTAAATATTTAATTCTGAGATTTCTAATTATATTTTGAAAAGAATAACTTGTTTCATTTTATTTTATTTTATTTGATGTAAGCGTCTCTGACAAGAAAAAATACTTTATTTTCTTATAGAATGATTACAAAAAAAATGCTATTTTAAAAAAAAAATTAAAATGCAGCAATGGCCGAATTTCTATTTCTTTTTTCTGTATCTTCGCTATATTATTTTTAATTTTCCGCATTTTTTTCCTTATTCACACTCTTTATTTTGTGGAATCAAAATCGATTTTCTTTTATTTGCATTTTTCAGCTTTGAAAGTTCTGTTTATATAATATAAAGTTGTATTATCTATAAAGTTTTATTACCTATAAAGTTGTATTGAAACTATTATGTTTTGAATAAAATAATCCCAAGAAACTGAAGCTGTAAGATATTACCTGTTGAAAACTTCATAAATATACACATATAAAAAAATAGTCGACATGTTTCAAGCGATTTAAAAAAGACGTGAATGAAAAGAATCAAAAATGATTTGAAATAAAAAATGAATTTTTATTTATTTCAAATCACTCTGTTTCTGTACATTCACGTCTGGCAAGTCTTGAAAATGGGCGCCTATTTTTGAAGCGCTTGAAACATGTTGACTGTTTTTTTTTTCCATAATAGTATATTTTTGAAGCGAATGAAGTTTTCAATCATGCAATATTACGGTGTTGTTATAAATTTTCAGATATTTCTTAACCTGTATATGAACCCTTTAAAATAATTCATTTTTTAAAAAATTGTATTATTGTTATAAAAAATATTATTTATTATCACGTATTGCCAACTTGATGCTCAGAAAAATCAATAAGTAATAATAATAATTTTGTCATTCCTGTGCTTAATGATTTCTAAGCAAACATTTTGAAAAAAATTATATTATTGGTCATATCTTGATAATGCTTTTGATGGAAAACAGAACAATGAAATTTTAGTGAAATTAAATTATATCTTCAAACTAAATTCAATATCGTTATTATTTAGAGTTTTGTTAATCTTGAGTGAAAAGGTAATAAAGTGCAAAATCAATGTCTCTTTTTGTTGAGAAAGTGAGAAAAACTTGGCACTTCCATGTCTCACTTAGCTTTTTTTATTTTTTTATAGGATGTGCATTTGTCACTTACGGCTCCAGGCAATGCGCCATCAATGCCATAAAATCCATGAACCATTCTCAAACAATGGAGGTAAAAAACAAGATTTATATACTCTGTTTTTTCATTTGCTAGATAAACTGAATTACTTCTTCCAAACAGCTTAATGTGCAACCGTTCACATCCAGGAATTCCAATCCAGATTCTAGTGAAAATGTGCCCGTTTGTTTTGGAATCATCTTCTCTAGTTCCAGATGCCCCCAACAAATGGCGTTTGGAGTTGCTTTTCTCTATCCCACGTGTTACGAGCATTTACTTTTTCTTGCCCACTACAGCCTTTACTAAGTGAATGTAACTCTTATCTTTCCATGTGATAACATTTCTGTTTTAGATGATCTTTTATTTGTTTCTGCGTTATTTTATATTTATCTTGATTTAACGCTGGGAAAAGTAAAAGCTTATTTAGATATGTTTAGCTTTTACCCAAACTTAAATTGAATATCTTGATAACAAATAAGAAACATTATGGAATTTATATTGTTTGAAAGAGATGTTTATTTGTTGATTCTGAAATCAGCAACAGAAGAACGTAATTTATAGATAGATATCAAAGGGTTCTTTACTACCTTTCATCTTGTTTTCAACTGCTATTAAGTTTATAAAAAAATATTAAGATAGGCGGAATATTTTCGAAAATGGTTAAAGCTTTTGCGCAATATTTTTAGTTTCTTCACTTTTTTTTTCTAAATCACATTGCAAAATGTAATTTTTGTCACAATTTAAAAACCTTTAATTACTTATATAACCCGAGCAGATATTATTTTAAAAAAATATTTCCTACTTTAAAGTCACTTGTTATTTAAAGGCCAAAATGCAAAAGGAGTCAATTAACAGTCTGAAAATTAATATAGTAACAGTTGTACTTAAAAACATGATATAATCAGATTATACCTTGACAAATCGTCTCTAGAAGACAATTCGCATGACTACGTTATATTAAATAGTGTCAAAAAGGATAAAATGACTTCAAAATGCAATTAAATATGTATTGCACAGTTAAAATATTTATTGCGTATTTTAAATATTAAAAATGGATTTCGAAAAGTATTCTGGTTTTAATGAAAAAGAAATTATGATGCGGAGTGCAGGGTTTGTATATATCACCTATATCTAATCATTTATCAGTAAAGTGACCAGATTTCTAAGCAATGATTAGAGTACAAATCAGCGAACCTTCCTCAAAAACTTTTACGATTTGAGAACACCCATACATTTATAGAAAATATTATTTATATGTGCAGCAAATATTTTTTAACTGATAACTAATATCAGGTACAGAATTATCTTCAACTTGATTTTATATCCGAGCAGTTTTGAAATAAGTTATGATAATCTGCAGTTGTTTCAACTCTTGTAAAATTAATGAGCACATAATTAATTAAACTTATTTTAATTTTTTCTGAAATTATGAATAGATAGTTTCAAATTTGTGCTTTTTTGCTTTTCGCTTGTATTCTCTGTATAAAAAAATCGCCTTGATTAGAAAAAGCATGTGCATTTCAGATATTTTGATATTCCACTGCGTATAAGAAAATATTAGATGTTTTCGGTGATATTTATCATTTGAGGACACATGTTAAGATTTAAAAACATTTTCGGTCTTCAAAAATGTTGGAAGTTGTTGAGGATAACTATTGAAATTCGAGGACAGTCTTCAAGATTTGAGAACGTCCGATCACCTTATTTATCGGTAGATATTGGATTAAAAAAAATTGTCATTTATTTTAGTGTGTAGATAATATTTAAAATAATACTTTTTGGCTAAATAAACACTTAATGTGGCTCATTCTTATACCTGTATGAATAAATTGAACTTTCCACTTTGTCAAACCTTGATTGCCTTTTGTATTTTTTTTAAAAAAATCATGTTCAAGCTAAAAAATTTTTAGAAATTACAACATGAATCATACTTAACACTTGTATAATTTTCTGATTTGAGAAAGGTATCGAAAAAATTAATCAAACCTCTCATTTCCCTATATACGAACGAAATTAAATTAGTGTTTTTTGGAAAGTAAAAGGCTTTTTAGAAGACTATTTGTAAAATTATAAGCATATAAATTGCAATTTCGAATTTAAATAATTTCATTTTTTCATAGTTAACAGTTCCTTTTATTAGTTAACACAGCACTTCTTTTCATGGATAGCACCAATTTTCATAAAATTAATCCTATAACTTTACTATTTTAAAAACTCACAAAACGTAAATTACTAAACAATGATGATTATTTTAAAAATATTTTGTAGTACTGAATCAATTATGCTAGAAACAGTTTAACTTACAAAATAAAAATAAAATATATTTTTGAAAATTGTTTTTTAGATGACCCGAATAAAATCAATCTAAAATCCTATTTGCGATTACAACTGAAATTGAATTTTTGAAAGTCTATTTCTTTTATTATTGGAATATTTCTTCCTTCTTACGGGATTATAAGAAGTTCTCATTATATTCAAAACTAAACTAATTTGCAATTCACTTAATATTTCTTTTTTTAAACATGAATAAACTTTCGGAAAATACTCCAAAAGTTTTCCAACTTTCAACGTAAAGAGTTTAGTAAACTTCTAATTTTTATTGAATTTTTCAAAGAAATGTGAGTTTTAAGTAATTAAATTTATATAATTTATTGAAAAGCAAATCATACATTATCTTATTTTATTTGCTGAAAATAAGATTCTATTTTAAAAAACATATTTTTCATAAAATATACTAAGAGTTAAAATAAGATATTTCAATGTATCAAACGGTTTGATTGAATCAACTACATACTTTGGAAAACAATAGTTTATTGGGTATAATAATATATTTTGTTCCTTATTAATGTCTAATACTTCCTCAAAGGGTACCGGGCCTCCCAAGGAACATTAAATTACATCCCTTTTTTTCTGTGGTATATTTTTCTCTGGTTTTTACGATGCCCCATAGACTAGAGGTTAACTGGAAGCTGAGAGACTTCGTCTAAAGCAGCGCCGATGCCTAGCATGTAATTGTTTTTTATTTTGAAAGCATGTGTAAATACAATTAAATAAAAAATATTAAATCAAAACGATCTAAAATATAAGCAATCAACTTCCTTCCCCCGTCTCAGTGGGATGTGGTGAAATTATCAAACATTGTCTTGTTTGTGGAGCAAAGCTCTACGAGATTAAGATCTGGAGAATATACTGGCCATTCTAAAACAGCTACCTTTCCAATTATTAAATATTCTGTTTTTGGTATAGCAAGGAGTCAAATCTTGAAAAATTATATCTTTGAGTAAAAAACATGCTGTTTGGCACTGACCATTTTATCATTATTTTCTTTTGCTGGTTGCTACTTAGCATCCATTTGAGAGGAAAGTGTTATGCGATATGCGATATACGTGCTAGTATATGCGATATACGTGCTTTCAAAATCTGTGGGATCGAAAGTCCTGTGTTTGGTTGCTGAGTAGTACAATACGTACAGAGATTGGAAGAAAATTTTTTCCCTTTCATATCTATGTCAAAATTGTAAAAGTGACTTCTCGAGTGGTACTGCCATCTATCCCAGAGGTTTTAAGCTAAGACTACTTTCACCCTTGTCAAATGAAAGGTGCACCTTACTTACTTAATTTGCAAAGGCCAATGGCTGGCGAGCTTGATTTGTCCAAGTGCCATAAGAAACAACGGAATGTTATTAGCTCAATATGGCAAAACGAACGACTAACTGATAATTTTGTGTATTTTTGTTGTTTCCACATTAATTTACTACTAACACAAAGAGAACCTTGATGTCTTACATTTTAATTACATTTATTATATTGTTGTATTTCAGGGTTGCAACAGTCCACTTGTTGTAAAATTTGCAGACACCCAGAAAGACAAGGACCAAAAAAGACATTATCAGCTGATGGCAAATCTTATGAATATGGCTAATATAGCTAATTTAGCTGCAGTTAATCCCCAGTATTTAACGGTTAACGAAGTAAGCAATATACTTAACGTTATAAAATTACTCCTAGTATTCCATTATTTTAATATGCATACTGGCAGATAAATTATTGCCTACTTAAAATAAAATTTTTACCACATGTCTATAACATTTCTTTATCATGAACAATTAGTTTTTTTAAATTCTGAAGTATGTAGAAACTACTGAAAATATGTAGATTGCACTATACAAAAAAATAATATTCAGTTACTCTGGTGACAAAATTCAATTTTGAAAATCATCTTTTATTGTAATATTGTTAAAATTATGAAATTACTCCATTATTTTAATAATAATACTGGCTGAAAAAGGATTGCCTACTTAAAATAAAATTTTTACCACGTGTCTATAACATTTCTTTATCATGAATAATTAGTTTTTTTAAATTCTAAAGTATGTAGAAATTACTGAAAATATGTAGATCTGCACTATATAAAACAATACTAATAATATTCAGCTACTCTAGTGATAAAATTCAATTCTGAAAATCATCTTTTATTGTAATATTGTTAAAATAATGAAGAATTTCTTAAGTAAAATTTTCTTTTTGGAGTAATTGCAATATTTAAATATAACGTCCACTCTAGAAGAAGTGCTACATAAAATATTTAGTGCAATATTTATTATGAAGTAAGTAAAATATTCAATTAAATGTTTCACAAAATCTCTACCTCTCTACATTTTTTTGGCATTTTAACTCAATTAAATAAATTACCCTTGAATAACTATATAAAACACAAAGCGAACTTAAATTTTTACTTCTAATTATTTCGCACTTTTAGTTATAGAGAAAATAAAAAACAAATAAAAAAAATGGAAAAACAATGTAGTGCAACAAAATTATTACCTAAGGACTTTTTTATAATTAATTTCACATCATCGCAATTTCTGGAAGTGCTTCATATGGATTTAACTGATAATTGTAAACAACACATGCCGATTTTAAAAAAATTATTGCAAATTTAGCCATTTCCTTGAAAAGAAAAATATCCATAGATCCGTATATCCATAAAAATATCCATCTGGAGTTATAGTTTAAGAAAAAGTGAAAAATGAGACAAAAACTTAATGCAAATTAAAGCTTTCTAATTTCAGACAATGTTTATTTGTTACTATTGTATCTAATTTCTTAATATCTTATCAGCAAATTTGTTGAATGTGCTCTTAAAAAGTGAGTTAAAAATAATTGATACAAATATATTTAAATGAAATATCTTTATATAAAAAAGTTAGAATGAATATTTCGATCTCTATCTGTAAATTAACTTTTATTTAAAATGAGACAGATTTCGTAAAAGAAACCTAATTTTTAAGGAAAAAATAGAAATCAAATTTGTACAACATTTAAATTGCTATTAATTTTTAGGCTGCATCACAAACAGGATTTGGTGCATTTGCTAATGTCCCTCAGGTTTCTAGTGGTAAGAACTCAACTTTCTCTATTTTATTAAAAAGATAAATTAACATTAAATACTTATTTTTAATGCTATTTATTACTAATATCTTAATTATTTTAGTTGCTTTAGTAACTTTTAACAGTTTAATGCTAATTTTCAATTATACAAATATTTTTATCATAGAAATTTTTTTGTAACAATCTTATCATATCCGTTTATTAATTAAGAAACGTGACATTATATTATCTATTAAAGCCTTGTTCAATCATTTTTAACAAATGTTTATATTTTTAAATGCAATTTTTCAAATTAGGAGTTATAAAAATTCTTCTAATTTCCAAATCAAAAGACTTGATGTAGAATTTTACCACTAGTTTCAAATAATAATAGTTTTATTTAAAAACCATTTCATAAGAATCCTATTAAAAAACGTAGACTGAGTTTAATTTATGTATTAAGGTGGTAGGAGAAAAAACTACAGGCTAATAATTAAATTTTAAGAACAAAGTTAAATACCCAATTTAAAAATTTACGAAATCATAGTTCCATCCATCACCGGAGTTGAAACTTAAAATTAATCTATACAATCAATTATTCATTTTTTATCTTTAAGTTAATGACAACGCTAGTCTATTGCAGTTAAACAGATGTTTGAATCTAACTTCTTTTATTTGTGATTTAATTTTTTAGCTGTTTTTTAAAATCATTTTTCTAAAAATAAAAGTATGAGCTACATAGCTAAAATTAATGTATTAACTGAACTGATATTAATCTATGCGATCGGCTTCTAATTTTTTATCTTTAAGCTAATGACAACGCTTGTGTATAGCAATAAAACAGCTGTCTGAATCTAACTCCTTGCATTTGTTGTTCATTTTCTTTTAACTATTTCCTAAAATATTTTTACTCAAAATAAAAATATGAGCTACATCTTTTTTTTTTTCGCGTGAAAAAAAATGCTTTTATGATAAAATGCAAATGATATTTTTGCTGTTTTTACTAATCTTAAAATGTACATTAAATTTTTTTATGAAATAACGGGTATATATATAATAATTTATTTTTTTTGGTAAAATTAGAAAAACCACTCAAAATATCAGTAAATCGCAGCATTTCCTTTTTCATATGTTTATTCAAACCTTCATTACACTTTATTCCAAACTAATTTTAAAACGTTCTTTGTTAACTATTATCGAAGTTCATAATCCCAAATCGATGGTTCAGTGGTTTTGGTTCATTAAACGAGGGGGTTTTCGAGTTATAACAACAACAAGAATTTAATGGAAAACAACAACAAGATTTAACACCATGGAATTATTTTTTCAAGTTTTAATCTTGACATTTTTCATCCGTCGGAATTTATGATAATATCGAATCGAATCAAATGTTCAGAAATTAAGTTTGTTTTATTTTGGAGGCGCTGCTAACGCCATCTGTATATTTTAATAACAATTAAATGAAGGTTCATTTTCAACAGTCCATCATCCATGACGTGAATTTTATGTTTATCGTTTGTTTGTGTTTATGTGTACTACTGACGTCTTGTATCGTTTTGCATGCTATATTACTGTATTATCTGTAGGTCTTAGTTCCCTCAGCTTGCCACAACAAATAGCTGCTTTAGCTGCTGCTCAAGCATCTGCAAATACTGGCAGTACAGGTATACCTTCAAACTAATTAAATATTTTTGTTTTAAAGGTAATATTTTCGATGCATGATTACTTGTTTGCTTTCTAACATTTTAATCCGCAACTTTTATTCTCTGGTGGTACAACTGCTGCACCATAATCATAATTATTTTCGTTAACTCTAACTTCTTCTTGATCTAACACATTGTTTGCAAATTCTCCGTATTTTAGTAATCCGAATCTACATTTTTGTTAGTGATTACTCTTTTTAAATTTCAATTAAAATAAAATTAAGATATCTGAAAACAGCCCTTGATTAAAAATTGTCTTAGAAATTTCTCTAAAGTAGGCGTTTAATCAATACATATTTCTTAAAAAAAGTGTAACAAAATGTATAATTCATGATATTAGGAGTTTGAGATTTAAAAGTTTCAGCGAAAAAAGTTTGTATTAAAAAATGTCAGTATATTTTTAAAGTTCCTAATCTTAAAATAATAATAACTTCGAGTAAATTATTCTAATTATAATATAATTCAATTATAATATATTATAAATCAATAATTATTCTAAAAAAATTATCTAATTTTAATAATATTGTAAATAAAATTGACTTAGCTTAAAAAAATAACTTAATTACAAATATTTTTATGAAAGGAAAAATAAAAAAAAAATCAAAGATATACCTAATTATTGAAAATATAATAAAAAAGTTCTAAATTTGATTTTAAAAAAAGACCTTCCCTTGTGTCCGCGTATTGCTTGGTCCTTGGACCGAGCTGGATTTCTTGTCGGCGACGAGGCATCAACTAATTGGCGTATGGGCATATTTGCCAGGGTTGCTGTACTCAACTCCTTGAAAAAAAAGACCTTGTATAATTTCATTCGAAAAAAGGATGGAATAACATTTTCATAAACTCTATCATTTTTATTTTGGAAAGGAAAATATTGTGTTTTTAGACATGCTAGAAATGTCATTGAATTTGCAAGTTCATAACAGTAAGTGATACTATTTTTTGAAAAAGATTATTCAGTACAGAAGCACACGTTTGAGAGCAATTACAGTTAGTGTTATTATATACTCTAAACTTTATAAAAGTCTTGGGAAATTTTACATTTAACAGATAATATGAAAAAATCATAAACTTAAATAGGGTTTCAATAAATATTTTTACACATTTTATTAAAAAACTGTTTTTTAAAGTTTTCTACGTATCGTGGAGCACCAAAGGTTTGTATATTTAAAAAAAAGCATACTGCATACATTAAATAATTGCATCAAATGTTGCAGTTTTAAGAATTAATTTCTTCGTTTTAATTTATAGTATACTTGATAATTTATATTTGTATACTTTTAAAAAAACGCACATCGTATATTAAATATAGCTGCAATATACTAATTGCATCAAATATTCCAGATTACCCACTTAACTTTCTCTTAGTACTTTATAGAACCATCGTCATATTTTGAAAGTTCTATCATGAAAAAATAAATGTTTCATATAGAATATGTAGCAGAAATTCATGAATTATGCAAGCATTTTTTTTCTTTCACTTTCTTCAAGTGACTAGATTTATTTCAATTTTTAAATTTATTAATTAATATTTGTTTAAACTTTATACTTATTTAACATTGTTATTAAGTTTTTTATCTTTACTTTCATACTTTTCTGTCATTTTAACTTTCTAATTATTATGAAGATAAATTATGTATAAAAAGAAAATCTTCCCTGAAGTGTATATCTTAAGCTCATTTTAAATCAAACTGAGCTTTATATAGTCATAGGTTTCTGGAACTCTTCCTGTTTTAAAGTAGGTCTAAGTTTTCTTGTCTGTTTATTTTTCATCTCAACAATGAATATTTTGTTGAATGATCTGGTAACTATATTAAATTTTCGTAATTTTATTTTTTATTTGAAATTGCAATATTACTACAGTTTGCTCTTTTGGTAATGTAATAGAAAGTTTAAACTTTTCATAAATGAATCAAGAATATATATATTACTCTCTATTAAACCATTTTATCCATTTATACTTTAAATTAACTCTTTGCTATCTAATTTTAATATTATGTATTACATATACTCAATTAAAAATATTTTTTCTAATTCTTAGTATCATAGTTAATAGTTTGTTTAAAAATAAATTATTTTAAAGTATTTATAGTAGTTCTGTACATATAATGTAATCTTTTGTTAAAATTAATACTTAATAAATACGGTCATGACGTAAGCATGCAAAGATTTTGAACTTTTTATAAGAATTAACATATATTTATATAACCCTAATTGCTAATTTTTTTTTACCTTGAAACTGAATAAAAGATACATTTAAAGAAATAGAATCTTAAACATTGCAACAGGTTTGATATACTAACCTGAATTTGATTAATATAAATTTAATTCATTGATATATGTAAAGTTTTCTATGAATCAAGTTTTAAAATAGTCAAAATCTAACCTTGATGTAATAGCATTGATGTTCATTACATATTTAGGACATCTTTTACATTTTACATCTATAGATTTAACTTCAAATTATGTTAGTTCAACGGAAAATGCTTTTGGAACTTATATAAATTAAAATTACAAAATGCGCATTTCTTTTATAATTTTTATGTTTTGAAAATGTCTACATTTTTATTGTATTTCGAGTTGAAAGAGTTAAGATTTTAAATATGGCCCACTTTCATGTTATCACAATTTATTTATTTACATTACTTCTAACCTTAAAATGTTCTTTTTTACAGATTGCCAATGTAAAATTTAAGAAATAAGTTTGCCAAATTGCTCCAAAAATTTCTTCTCTTTGAAAATTTTGAAAATTTCTTATTCAGTTTTTATTCCAAAAAGCCACAACCCAAAACAATGCGCAAATATGCAAAAGCAATAACAATGCAAAAATTTTCCAATATGCAATTACTTAGCAAGTTTTATGCAGCTACTTTATGATTTATGCAGTCTTTTAAACATTTTTAATACATGTCTTGTATAAATATTATTTCGTATAAATATTATTCAATACTAATTATTACAGTATATTATTTTGTTTGTGATTTTATACATTTCAATAAGTTTTTATTTTTTATTATTTACTGATTTAACATAATTTATTTCATTTTAGGTCTTAATTCACTTAATTTGCAAAGTTTAACAGGACAGACAGTAAGTCCAAGCATTGGCTTGTCTAGTCCTGGGAGTAATACTTCAGGTTAGATAAACAATTATGTATTTTATTATTAATTAGCAAATTGATACAATTTAACAAATTTTAGAAAATTATTTTAATTCCATTTTGCTATTTTCAGACCTTAATACAGCTAGCTTACAGAGTATTGCTGCTTTAGCAAGCTTAACAAGCTCCTCTGGTTAGTATTACCCGCTTTTATATTATTTAATTAAGTCAAACTATTACTTAAGAGTGTATTTTGAAATTAATATATGTCAATAATTACACTGGGAACAAATTGTTTTTAATTTTCTGTTGCATGAAATTTTTATTAGATCTTAGATACAATTATAGCTGATTTCAAAACTGTAATCTGTTTCTGTCCCCAAGCTACGATTTGTTTAAATGGCATTTTTAGTCTATTTTTTGTTGAAATGTACAAACTTAGAAGCGTTATATATAACATGGAGTTGCGTAAATCGTGCGAAGAAGATCTAAGGGAGTTAGGGCGCATCATTCATATTGAAATTGCATTCAGTTATACCCGGAAACGTCATCATACGCCACTAGAGGTGTTTTCTAATTATGAAGTGTTTCTTTATGTGCTTTTAAAAAGAGCATGTCAGGAAAGCACCCCTATCAGTGTATAACGACATTTCCGGCATTTGGGTTTCTATGCAGTTTTAATCTTACTGGTGTGCCTAATAGAAGTTTGTCGCATCATTTACGCGATCCCCTGTTATATATATATATAACGTTTTAAGACTTGCACGTTTTGACAAAAAGTATAAAATGTCATTTTAAAAATAAATATGTTGCTTTAGAAACAAAACTAATTTCAGATTTGAAATCTCCTTACTCAAATTAGGCAAGATCAAGTATTTGTATGACTGAAATAAAAAAAAATTCCACAATGTATTTTTTCCGCAGCAACTATTTATTTTATAATCCCATACATTCTGAGTATTCGCAGTTATTAAACCATACCAGTTTCTTAATGCCAATTTACATTTAAAATATCATTAAATTTTTAAATTGGCTTAAAATGTTGGCTTTCAATTTATTAAAAAACGTCTAACATTTTTAATCTATCAATTCTAAGTTTTTGAGTACTCTCTGACGGTCTCATCTGTTTTATTAAAAGATAAAAGAGAATGAAGGCTCTTACATTGTTAAACTCTCTAAAGATAACACTTGAAAAAAAATAGCATTTCAACTTGCATTATCCACATAGCAAAACCAGATTTTAAATATTAATAGTTAGAAAAATAATGTAATTTACTAATTTCCCAAACCATCAAAATCTACTTAACATCATAATGTCCATGTACATCATACTTAACTGATTTAACTTAACTGATTTGATAAAATTCACCACATCAAAAATTTTAAATATAGAAATTCCAAATTTAATTCATGGTTAATTTTATAAAAAAATCCAACTGCTTGCAAACATTTAAAATTTGATATAATATTTAAAAAACCACGGTCCAATTTAATTATTGTATTGCTAAGAGTGCCATGAGCTTTAAAAAAAATCTCGGATCAAATGGCAGTAAAAAATACTGGCACTCATAATGCTGGTACTTTTTACTACAACATGTTACGGATCAAGACATTTGATACACAATACCGTAATTTTTACAATAATGATTACCGTAAAATCACTAAATCACTCTAATTAAATGAATATTACTGTGTAAAAATTACGGTAAAAATGGATTTTACGGAAGATTCACTCAAAGCTCCAGTACATTATACCGTAATTTAATCCCGTATTTTATATAGTTTGACTCAATTAAAAGTTATTAACTTTAGTTAAAACTTCTAATAATGTCTGTAAAATAAAATAGAGTTAATAAAATTTAGAGTTGAGTGTGAAATATAACGAAATAAAGTTATAAAAAAACCTAATATGCTAACATTAAAGTTAGACATTAAATAATCGCAATCTAAATTTAAATGAGAATTTCTAAACAATTAAATCAGTAAGAAAATTGAAACTATTTATTTTAAATAAGTTTTATAATTGTTTACTTTTCTGTAATTTCGCTATAGAAATAATAATAAATTCGTAACCGTTTAACTCTGTTGCTTTAATTAAAGTTGTTGTGAATTACAGGTCTGTCTCCAGTTTTAGTTCAAAACCTTGCTGCACTAGCTGCTGCTGGAAATACTTCTAATTCCTCCGGTCTTAGCTTACCCACCCATGGTACGTAAATGCTAGAATTTAAACTACTAAGCTTGTAAATTAGCTACTCAAAAAGCTTAATTCAGTTGTAACTATTAATTTTGAAGAAATTCTTAAAATTAATGCTTATTATGATAAGAAATAATGTCAATTAAGTCAAAATAAATTTCGAAGCTTGTTTAACTCCTGTTGTAATATGAAAATAAACATGGAGCACCATTTGCCAAGTAAAAAACCTAAAACTTTTGTTTCAGACGATGCTTTACAGTTTGATCAACATTCTCAGGTCTGAAAAAGTGAAACTCACTTGACAAAATTAATTATAGAAATATCGTATTGATAAATACTAGCTCTTGAAAATCAAATTATTCCAAATGCTACCCGTTTGTTTTGTCTCTAAAAACTCTTCTTTGAAAAAAAGTTAATTCACATTCCAGCTTATTTTCTAAAAGATATCTAAAAATCGTTTTACTTGTAAATCTAGAAACAAATTTGAATTTTTTTAAATTTGATTTCTAAGGATTGATTTATAAATGCCCTTTAATATTTTACTAAAAAAATGTTTAAAAATTTTCTTAAAAATAAGAATTTTTTGAAATTTCTAGGAAACTTTTTATCACATGGTGCCTAATAAAATATATTACTGTTGATTATCTTATACCATTTGTTGAGCATTAACTATCTCTAATTTCTAGTAATCTGAAAATGTATGTTATTAAAGAATAAGTTTATTGATCACAGAAAAAATAAATCTTAAATATATATTTTTTAAAATGTTTTAAACAATATTGAATACAGTTACTAAGAGAAAATCTGAAAAAAACTAATCATACTTACATGGTCAATGGAGTTAGACCCATGTAAAAGTTGTTACTTAATCTCCATCCTAAATATACAACTTTAAAAATATTTTCAAAAAAATTTAAAAATGTCGAAATTCTTTCATATTCGCTGTCGAAAATAAATATTCAAACGAGAAAAATACAAAAGTGTTAAAAAATCTAAAGAATCCTATTGATGAAAGACAGGATTAACAAAAATTAAAACAAACTTTACTATTTTTTTTGTTTTGCTTTTAATTTCTAATGACCAAGAAAAAGGTTAAATAGAACAAAAAGAAGAAGACTAGAGTCACTTCCAAATGAGTCCTCCTGCTTCTCAATATCTGGACATAAGTCCATGAAGAGACCCACGTCAAAGCAAGTGGCCCCATTCTATTACTTATCCAGAATCACATAGTTCACAAATAGGCTTGATTTTCACATCTACGCGAAGCAGATGGGTGGCATTGACCTTTCATTACTTAAAGAACGATTTGTTTTCTGCTTTGGGTAATATTTCTTGGCACTGGAAAGTCTCAGATATCAATGGTAGTTCGATGGAACTAATTAATTGGATGATTGCTTGAAAATGTATGGAAAATTCTGCTGCTTTTTTTTTTTCAAATTTATGAACAATAACTACTTTAAAGCCATGCATGTGGCCACCAATCTACCGTCTGAGCGGTGTAAAAGTAGATCAACTTCTTAGTGGTGCACCCTTTGTAACTCCTCTGGCGGCTAAGTGATCTACAACTCTGAGGTCTCATTGTTTTGCGTCCGTGAAACCTGATCTTCTACAGTGGAATGTCTCATTTCTCTGGATCCGTGAAACTTGAGCTTTTACAGTGGAATGTCTCATTTCTCTGGATCCGTGAAACTTGAGCTTTTACAGTGGAATGCCTCATTGCTCTGGGTCCGAGAAACTTGAGCTTCTACAGTGAAATGTCTCATTGCTCTGAGTCCGTGGAATGCCGGTGGTTTATCCCGATCCTAGGAAATCCAGATTCAACAGTCTCTTTTTGAAATTCCGATTATTTGAGAGACGGAAGTTATTTGAAGATGTTTCTGGTAATCGCCTTTCACCGATTCTCAATTCACTCCGGCAATCAAACAAGTTTCGGTGTTTACCTTCCTCCACAATAGTGATAACATTTTTTCATTTTCTTTCTTAAATATCAATATACGATCCTTAATGTAAGTATAGTTTTGGCGTCATTTTTGAAAAGGATTCTTTAAATGTATTTTAAAAACCATGATTACTGAACACTCAGTATAAAGATACCTGATAACAGTGGGTTCGATGACTTATTAAATTTTCATAATATTACTCTAAATATTTAAAGAAAATTATATTATTTTTATACTTTCTTTGAAATTCAAATTTCATAAATAACTGGGACTTCATAATGTTTACGAGACAAGAATTTAACCATTAAGAGCACCGTTGTAGTAATTTCTTATGTCAATAGATTCGTTCCTCCTTGTATTTCTTTGATTAGTAGATATATAAATTCGTTCTAATATTAGTAAACATTCACTCTCTATACACTGTTTCAAATTTGCCCCCTGACTTTGATAGCCTGCAATTTATGATATACGTTACACAGTTTCCAAATTTTAATGACCTAAAATACTCGCCAATCCTTCTAAATAAAACAATATCCAAACCATTTAACCAAGATATTAAAATGCTGCACAACAAAAATTTTAAATTCTAACAAAAAAATTTTCGTTAAAATAAATTAAGGTTATTCAATAATTATTTATTTTTGCAAATATTCTATTTAAATTTGGAATATGTTTGTAGAATGTAAAAATAATATGGTGTTTTTTACAAGCTAATACTTTTTTCATTGAGCGGGAAAGTGTATTTCATTTTATCACTTCTTTCATTCCAGGAAATAATTCCAATACAAATTCTTCTTTAAGTGGAATAAATTCTTTGAGCCCTGTTACAAGTATGGCACTAGGAATAACAAACTCATCACTAAGCAGTTTATCTGCAGTGAATGGGTAAGTTCTTTTAATAATACATTTTATAAGCAATTCTAATGAAACTTATTTCTTCAAATCAATCATAAAATTTTCAAAGAAAAGAATATAAAAATTTATTCTTTTCATTGGGTGTAAGAGTTTAATAAACATTTCATTTCGAAAAAACTTTTCAAAAATCAATTTTTTTTTTTAATTATGCCTAATTAAAAACTTTAATAAACATCACTATCTAACAAACAAATCTTTATGATCAAATTTGATATTCTCATAATACTTTTTTATATCAAAAAATAAGACCCAAAAATTTAAAAAAATTATAAAATCTTAGTAGTAATAATTTAAATATATTTTACATATTACTCAGTAGCGAGCAGAAACGGGGTAAAATGTTAAAATGTGTTTGTATTTACGTGATTCTTTTACTATACATATATTGGATACAATTTAATTATTACTTTAAACATAAATAACAATAGTAAATGATAAGCTATAAAGGGAAAATGTGATTTATTTTCATTCCTTTATAACATCAACTTTAAAGATTTTTCTGAATCTTTAAAGATACATTATAATTTTGCCACACTATGCTATAAAAATTTTTTAAAATGCTACTATTTATGAAAATTTGTCCAAAATAAATTAAATTGCTAGATTTGCCAACCAGTTAGCAAGTATTGTATTTATTCAATTCAGAATATTTTTTTACACAACAGAAAAATTGTTAAAAACCTATTTTCACAGTTACAATTCACTCACTAATAATCAAATTGGCAGTGCATGTTTATTGTTCACTGTTCAAAAATATTTAAGAAAAAAAAATTTAAATTTTTAAAGATATACAATACACTGCCGGAAATATTGGGCACAACGTTGAATCATTATATAGGTACCTTGAACCATAATATGAAACAAACCATAATATGATACTGTAACCTTAAATGCTAAACTGAAACAAGCGTTAGTTCGAGTTGAACTATGGTAACGAGTAATCAAATTTAAAAAATAGGATATTAAATTTTTAACTTAGCTTCATATTCAGATCACAATAATTTTTAATGATATCTTTAGCAAACTCCAAAATTTCTAACATTATACGGTTTTAATAATTTTATCTGAAGTTATTGCATCACGTAAAGCAAAAAGCTGTAAAGTGATAAGATTAATCACATTTGTTTTAATTTAATAATCTTTAAACTGTATATGTTTCACTAACAAGACTTCTTCTGTTTAAAGAATTGGTGGAAAAACTGCTTTGACAACTAATGGAGCTTCTTTAGATGCTTTGACACAAGCATATTCTGGCTTGCAACCTTATTCTGGTTTGTATACATTTCTTCTTTAATATACTTCTCAAAGCCTGCACTCTTTTACAATGTATATACTAACTATAGATTAAATGATTATATATGAGCCCATCATTTGTCTATAGCACCCCTAAGACTAAGTTAAAATGTAAGCAACTTGATTAAAATAGAAACTAGATAAAAAAACTTAATCCACTTGGCTAAAATCAATGTAACTAGGTTAGAACTGAGGCAGCTAGTTTAAAATCCGAACAACTAAGTCGAAATTAGAACTTAATCGAATTATAAAAATATATATGGTTTAAAGTAAAGCATTTCTAGTTAAAATAAAGCATTACGTTTAGATCAGGTGTGGCTCCAAGTAAAAATGATTTGATCCGAAGTCGCAGTTAAAATACTGTCGTCATTTCAGTTTAAGTATCAAACAGTGGGTCAAAAAAGTTTTAATATGTGCTTCAAGGTGCGCATTTTAAAAGGCACAATCAAAAGGTATAATTTAAATTTAATCAGAAGATTAAATTTAAAAATTCCATTATTTCTTATAATAAATCCCACAGCTATTGCATACTTCTACATTTTAAAAGCATTGTTTTAGGACAATAATTTATTACCTGAATTAGTTTCGTTTAGAAGTAAGTTTATCTTAACCCTTTCGTCACAACCCGCTCCGCTGAAGTGACTTCACCCTTTCATCACGGCAGCCCGCTCCGCTGAAGTGACTTCACCCCTACAAAAAAATAAGATGTTTTGATGTTGACAGATGTAAGAATATACACCTGAGGTAGAAAATGAGATTATGTTTTGCGCTGAGAATAGCATCATTAATAAACCCCAATTTCAACCTCATTCACACTTCACAAAACCAACCTCATATATAACTCAGAAATAATTTTAGTTTAGATCCGGAGAAATTATTCACACCTCAAATATACGTATTTGCTTGAAGTGTAGGAAAAATAATCCATACACTTCAAAAACAACCTCGCTAAACTGGTTGCTCTAAAGTAGATTTCCATCAACCTCAAGTGTGAATAAAGCAACTTCACAACCTTGGGAGGTTGATCTTTTAAGGTTGTTTTTAAAATCAACTTCGAATAAACATCAAGTCAACTTTGACATCTCACAACAACCTCATATATGCCTTAAAAATATCATCGATTTTTGTAAAGGAACTGAACGGTGCACCACGTTCCGCAAAATGCGTACTTTGCATGGCGGCAAGCTAATGTTTGGAGACTTGAAATGATCTTTGGAAATTTTGCAAAAATTAAATAAAAATGCAAATTGGGATCATTCAAAAATATCTTAATAATTTAATTCAGCATGAGAAATTCTAAAACAAATGTCAATACACAAACCCACTTCATAGTTTTTACACTAGTTTCTTGTCGTTTGTAATGCAAGTGGCGCACTTTCTATTTCCGTTTTTTTTCCATAGATCTATAAGCCGAAGGAAAATGTCTTTCTGACTTGCAAAACATATAACACACTTTAAATATATACTTTTGGTAGTATTAATCCAATATAGATCAATGAAATAATAGCCTTCAGCAGTTTGAAGCAAATTGAACCTTTCATCAAATGGTATAATGCTGATGTCGGCTAAATACGACGCCGTAAATAACCTACCTAACCTTAATAGGGCATACGGCGTAATGATACAAACAATTTACAACAATTATTCAATGATACAAACAAATAAGTTACACAATAATTCACCACTAAAAGTGAGTTGGTGGCAAATACAAAATTAAATCTATAGTAAACAAATCATAGAAAAGTTAGTCATGCAAGGGGATAAAACATCAGTATAAGGCAACCAAGTATAAAAGATGATTTCAAAAATGAGAAAAAAGAACCTTGCAAAAGTAAAAGCTAAGCACTTGCTAATCTTAATGTTTTAAATTTTATTCAAGAAATGAATGGATACGTTAAGTCACTATTATTTAAGTTCGTAATGTGACAAGCAAGCAGTATCGTTAGTTTTTTTGTTTTTTTTTCTTTTGTATATTTGAACTGTTATGATATTTTTTTTTATTTCTCGTTATCAAAGCTAATTTTGTTTATTTAAATCACAAATATGTTATTCTTATTTATTTATCTCCTTATGAAATAGTATTTTTCTAATTCTATTATATCGATCATTATAACTCATTATCGGTCAATACGTTGAGCTTCAAAAAACACATTAGGTGTGGTGCATTGAGACTGTTAAACACATAACTTAAAACTGGAATAGCTTTTCTAACATAAAAGTGTTCAGTAATGAACCCCTTTATAGAACCCTTGTCATAAACTCAAAAAGTAGCACTTCATTTGGAATTATGAATACACTAAAATTTAGAGTGATCAATATTATACCAGTTGAGGTCACTAGATAAAAAGACGTTATTAAAACTTGGCAAATCGTTCAAGAAGGTATGATTGAAACCTGTTTGATTTCCTTATAAAAGTGGAGGGTAGTGAAAGGTTTTTAAGAAAATCTTCAAACTCAATTCAGATATTAAACTGGTTTTACAATGCTCAACTTTGCTATAATTGGACAGTTTAGTTTTATATTATCAATTTTATAAAATATAAATCAAATTTTTCTTCTGAAATTTTTACAGATATTTTCTTTTTCCTCCCTAAAATTGTTAATTCTCTTTTATTTTTACGTAGCATATATTATTAAAACTAAACTCAGTGGCGCGACAGCCCATAGAGGGCCAAGGCCTGCTTTTCTTGACCTTGGGCTCTGGGGTGCAGGAGCAGATGTTCCGGTTAGGTGGTCAGCCGAAAGTGAAACTCCCAGTGTTTAGCTCCCAAGCATGCTTGGTACTCATTTATCGACCCACTGAAGGGATGAAGCCACCGGGCGTCAGCATATATTATTACAAAAATTAGTTTAAACTTTTCTTGAATGCTTAATTTTTGTATTAGATATTTTAGTTTTAATTTGTTTAACCCCATTAGGACAGGCGAAAGAGGAAAAACACTTCCCCTTGCCCATAAACTCAGAGTAGAGCTAATACTAGTTTCAATACAGGAGTACCGAATTGAGATCACGTCCGGTGATATTTGGCCGTTGGAGTCAGAAAAGCTCGTTTTATAATTGATACCCTGATTCGTGAAGGGTAAATCGAGTGATCGCATACATGTGATCACAGTCCTGAAATGCTTAAACTGTTTCAAGACCGTGATTACGTACTTCTTTTGCGAGTCCTCTACTGGTTGAACACCTTAAGAGTTCAGATAAATCCAAAAATTGCCTGTTGCATTATTAAAAAAATTTTAATTATTATAATAATCTGCGGTAATAATAATTAATAAAATTTATTTTTCCAGCTTTACCATTTGCACAATTAGGTCTTCAAACTCCGAATCCTGCTGGAAAACAAATTGAAGGTATTTATATTTTTTTATTCTTTTTCTGACTTGAGTATTTTGTCTGTTTAAAAGTAATCTTTTTTTTTTTTTTTTTTGAAAAATTCATTTAAACTAATTTTTCTGATTTTTCATGCTAGTCAATGACGTTTAAAATATATTTTAAAATAATATACCCCGCTCAAGCTTATGTTCTTAATTAATTTCTATTGAAGCTTAGGTTACTCCTATATAAATTAAATTCACCATGAGCCAACTTGAAAATTGCCATTATGTATCACACAGTTTCATCCATGTTGTAAAGTTAGCAAAAGTAATATCAGCCTAATATTTTTTTATTATTTTTTCCATATATATTTTCGACATATCAAAATATCTCATAATTTACTAAGCAATTGAAAGTTATTTTTTATGCCTAAAAAAGTGTGAAAATTTAAAATATCAAAATAATAGTCAATATTCACGTCAAACGACACAAAAAAAATTATATAAAAAATGATTCTGATTTACAATATATTCTAAGAATTTCATCTGAGAATTAAAATGCATTAAAAACTATTATGACCAAAATATAATACTTTCTATTAAAAAAAACGCTCTATAGTATGATTTTATTAATGAAACTATTCAAAATTATATTCTGGTTATTTTTATTGAAATGTAGTTTCACTGATACATCTTTTTTTTACCTCTTGTTGACAATCAAAATTTATTGTTTATTATTAAAAACTGCAAATATTTAAATTTTTCAGGTCCAGAGGGAGCAAATTTGTTTATATACCATTTACCACAAGAGTTTAATGATACTGATTTAGCCCAAACTTTTATGCCATTTGGTAATGTCATTTCCGCCAAAGTTTTTATTGACAAACAGACCAATCTTAGCAAATGCTTTGGTAAGTATATTTCATTAAATTGTGATTTAATGACTGTGACAAATTTGTTTCATAATTCTTTCACAATTGCATTGATTTTCATACTTTCTTCCTTCAAATATTTTAATAAGAAGAAATAAATTTTATTTCATCCACTAACTTATTAAACATTGATTGAAATTTTTTCAATTCTTAAAATTTGTTTTTCTCTTAAATGCTCCCATAATGCATTTCGTTAATTTCATTAATTTATTCTATACGTAAGGCAAAACGGCATGAATAGAAATATGCCGCAAAAATGCATTATGTTTGTGCACGCTGTGCTCTATATAAATATTTTTTTTATTATTCACCCTTTGACACAGAACTTTTATTAACCATATTTTTCATGCTTTTTTCATTATTTTGTATTAATTTAGGTCAAAATAAGTTCAAAATATTATATTTAGCATTTGAATAATTTTTGGTTATGAAATACAGCATACATGTCTTTTTCTACGTTCGGGTAAAAACACGCAAACACGGTTCAGTTTTAAACAGCAATTGCACTTATTAGCAATTATTTATATCTAAGAGAAACAGTTACTCATCATTGAAATGTCTTTAATTTACTAATAATAATACTATCGATAATTGTTTGAAAATGGAAAACAATTTCAACCTTTTTTTTTAATTTTATATTTTAGTATAAATATAATTCCAATAATCTAACAGATGTTTTTAGTAACTATTGGACAGTTTTCAATAATTAAAAAAAACTAAAATATATTTTTACTTACAATTAGAGAGTCAGAAAAAAAAATTTATAAATAAGGGACACCGGTGTCTAATCTGCGTCAAAGGGATAACGGTACGGAAGTATTTCAAGTTTACATTCCACCAGTTATAATTTTAATAATTAATAATAATATTAATTATAAATTTATAATTATAAGAATGATAAAATAATATAAGGATTTCTAGCCATATTACTCAGCATTTTCACCGAGTAAGTTAGTTTCATGCAGCTTACATAGCGATATTGGTCCGTTAAAGTTTCATATATAGAGCTAAAATTTTAAAATTACAATTGCATATTTGCAGGATTTGTTAGTTACGACAATCCAAGTAGTGCACAAACTGCAATCCAGGCAATGAATGGATTCCAAATTGGAATGAAACGTCTAAAGGTTCAACTTAAAAGATCAAAAGATGCAAGCAAGCCATACTAATCTAGAATCGACTAATATTGCCTGTACATTTGATGGTTGGTATTCATTCATGTTTTAATTTAAAGTATTTTTAACCATAAATAATACTGAAACAATAAAATCCAATTTATCTTCATCGGTAAACTGATAAACATGCATTACCTAATTAAATTTCATATAAACTCCTGCCTTTTGTAAGCCATTTTGGTTCCATTCCGTTGACTAGCTATCAGGTAAATATAATATTACTAATTTTTCACTTTTTCAAGTTTAGAGCGATTTTTTTTACACCAATTGATTTATTTTTCAGGTAAGTTTTAAATTCTCTGTTTTATACTGTCATTTATATAAAAAATCACTTTAAAAATTTATATCTGTCTGCAAATCGTATGAAGTCTACTTCAACAGGAACTTGAGAAACTAAAATTCAGTGTTCCTGTTCTTTAAATTCAATGTAACTTAACCAGGTAAAGTACTAAGCTGTTATTTCCTTCAATTTTCTAGAAATTTTTTATGTGTAATTAATTCATTTAAAATGTTAGAACATTAAGTTATAACAGTTCAAAAAAGTCTATAGTCGTCATTTTAGTCTATAGTCGTTGATTTTTTTAATTATCTGTAATGCAATGTAGTGTTTTTATTTTAAACTTAAATATATCATTTCTTACACGAAAAAAAAAACACTTTTTACTAACCTTTGTAATTTCTGTTATTTTTCAACATTTAAAATATCCTACGAACTATAGTTTTTCTCAACTTTTAAAAGTTTTAAATAGAATTTCGTATTCTCTTAGAACTTTATGGGGGAGGGGCCAAGAACTTACTCCATTTTATGAGTGCTTAAAAAAATATGCACTAAATATGCCATATTTTATACAAAAATGAAAAAACTTCAAATATAATGTTATAACATTAAAAGAAACTAACAAATTATTTCATTATTTTCCTAGACAAAAAAAAAAAGAATCCCAAACTTAAATAATTTTCATAACGCTCTCTTAAAGTTATTTTTTGAAATTCATATTCAATAACTCATCCACTACATTTGTCTTGTTTATTATTTTTTTGTACATATGATACTTTTCTTGGGTGATTATTCTTAATAAAATTAGTAGCTTATGAAGTAATATTGAAGGAATTACGAAATAATTCTATCTGATAGTATAACTAGTTGTGTAAAATGGCTTGAATAAATACAATTATTTTCATTTGCAAATGATTTTGTCTTTATTTAATGGTTAAACTAGAATTCTGGTATTGTAAATGTTCTTTTCCAGCTAAAATGTTTTTTTAAAAAAATTAATTCAATATAATTAATAGTTCAACAATATTTTTTTTTAATTTTTCATATATGCATAATATTTGAAATATCTGAATTAAGTTATCAATTATAATATCTAGATGCACTTCTTTATATTGAATTGAATCTTACAAATGCTTTCCTGGTGTCACAACTGTTTATCTTTTTTCTACAGAGAAATGTTCAATTAAACATTCTAATACTACACTCTGTTTGTTTGAATTCTCATATAGGGATATCACATCATCTGTCGGTGAGCTTTTTATTTTAGACATTGTTCAATATGTGTTGAGGATAATCAGAATGTGTTAGACCCAAATTTTAACAACTAAGCTAGAAAATTCACTTTAAGCACAAAACGTAATCGGTTCTTAGCTTGGCAAATTACAGATATAACATTTCAAGTGATCTCTACGCATTCAGGTATTTAAACGATAAAGTAATATTTAAAAAATGAAGTTCCTCCAACTCAATTTACTACCATTACTATAAATTTATAAGCAACGTGGTAACTCTGTAAAAAGAACTCAACTTTTAAAGTAGTTGCTAAAAAAAACATTTAAGGTTAAAAAAATGTACTCAGTGATTTCTGCAAATGGGTAAAATTAATTTCGAATTTATTTGGATTCATTAGTTAATTCTTTGGAGAAAAAACAGTAGGTACTCATGAGAGTAATTTAAAGAAAGGAATCAAATGCTCAGGATAAAAAGCTCACAGATTACATATTTTTGCTCCGAATCATACCATGGTTTATAAATTGCAGTTCGAAATTTCATGTTTGGATAAAAATTCAGATACGTTTGTGAATCAGGCTTATTTTCATAAACAATACAAACAAACCCTACACAAAAGCCGCTCTGGATTCCCAGTTTATTCGTTAAAATTGATCTAAAAAGATATTCAAGGTTTAAAAAAATGCAATAAACAAACAAAGTTGCGCATGTATCAAAAAATTACCGAAAATATAACTACCTTTGAAACTTCTACCTGATATAATAAGGGCTAAAAGTACACAGTGCCTGCTTAAGATTTGTTAATTAGTTTACAGAGATCGTCATATAATGTCAAAGTATCTTACAACATTCTCAATTTGACATGTTAGCAGAAACAGGGGCACCCATTCAGCATCAAGATCACAGTTGCCAACTAGCTATTGAGCGAGAGGACAGTCTACTCTCACAGCATTTTATTCGTCAGTATGAGTTAACCATACTTTGTTTCACATCAACTGGCAAAGACAGAGTATGTAAGAGTATGACTTGAGAAATGGGTCTAAGTTATTTTCGAGTTTGAAAAAGTTAAATGCGATTAAAATGATAAATAGATGTCACAAAAATTTTATTTACGAAATATATATAAGAAGTTTTTCTGCATTAAAAGTATTTAATTTATAAAATGCCTTCTAAGTAAAGAGAACGGGCAAAGACGAAACAACGTCATTGGCAAGTTATACTTTGGATGTAACAACGTTAAATGGGCGAGCTACACGTGACCATTTTCCTTACAGCGGCTGAGATCAGTTCTGTACACCTTTCGCAGCGCTGCTAAATTAAATCGGAACAAAGTGTAACATATTATCTAGTTAAAATGCAAAGAAAAAAAAACTTATTATTTATGTCTCGGTAAAACCTCGCCAAATCTCTCTTATGCAGCATACTCCCTACAAGTACATTGTTTTTAGCGTTGAGTCCCTTTGAATTAATTTTCTATGATCAGCGATGAAATTGAAGTCAGGTGTGGTTTTCTTACTGCAATGTTCCTCAACTTCAGTGAACTGAAAGTTATGCTTGAAATGCCATTCTACCTTGCAGCTATAGCCAAGATATGGTTATAACCAGGGACTAATATAGGTATATCTATGGTTATAACACAACTGTATGCAGTATATATTCCCGTCGCTTTGTCCCTTACTTTCAAAACATTTCCGGCCTACATCTCCTCTTTGAATTATTTTTACTGGTTATTTTATTTTCTTTAGTACATCTCCAGACAGCTAAGTAGCCAAACATTTACCAGATAGAGTATTTTGATTAGGTAGGTAGAGAGGTACCTCAGATCATTAAAAAATTGCGTCAATCTAGTTCAGGAGAGGAAGTAAATCTTACAAATGATAAGAGCTAACTCTTTAATATTGGAATTTTTGCTGCATACTATTTCAAGAAGGACCAAAACTACCTCATCTTTGCAGCACAGGAACAAACCAATTCTCCAAATGCTTCGTCCATAGTTTTGGGATATAAAGACTCTTAAACGTCGGAAACAGCTGTTCCCAGCAGTCTTAAAAAAGTTTTAAATTATCTGGTCTTTTCATATACCCTGATTTTCAATTGATCATTTCTGAAATATTTTATCTTTAGGTTCCACATCTGAAGCTCTTTTATGAATATCAAAAATGATCCTGCTTTCAAAATTTCTCTAATGGGGTTTAAAACTTCTCGATTCCAAAAATTTCAACGGCGTCTAATGAAATATAAAATACTAGACATTTGAAGTAAAATTTTAAATTATTTAACTAAACACCAATAAATAACTCCTTAAAACTAAGAAAAGAAAAACATTCGAATCTTGCAATTTAAATACTTGTTCACAGCATTAAACATGCACTATTACAAAAAAAAGATTTATTATTAAGTTGAATTATCATTTTTAATTTTACTCGTAAAAGGTCGTTTATATCAAGACCTATCCGATACTAAAAATTATTTTTCTGCCTAACACGTGTGCTTTATAGTAACAATTAAATTAACATTTTGTGTTAAATGTTTCTATGTTTCTTTACGTCTTTAAATGTTTAGTTGGCAAATTATCTATAATTAATTATTTTTGATCAAACTTTCAAATGATTAAATTATCAAATTTTCGCCTACTAAACCACAATATGTTTGTTTGTTTAAAATATTTTTCATTTGTATATCCCAACACTGGACTTAGTGAATATTAAAACTCAAGAAAATCTGAACTTACATAACATTTGACAATACTTTTTACTTAAAAGCGTGGTATAGAAGTCTCGATATAGAGCAAACAACAGAAAGATAGAACACGCAGCTTAGCTTATTATAGAATAAGTAAAAAATATTTAGTTTGCAACATTATTTTGCGTGCACTCAATAGAAAAATTTTAAGACTTTAGTAACTATAATCCGTAATTTATTACTTCTGACTGTAAAGAAATATTCTAAATTGTTTTACTATAATTACCTTTGCAATGATTCTGAAAAAAAAATTGAACGAAACGTTAAGTATATATTTTAAAGGTTTCTTATGAAACAGTAAGTCATATATTGCATAGATTATAAATTTTATATTTTATTGATAAAATTTGTCTAAACTAGCACTTTTTATGAGTGACTAAGAACACTTTGTCAGCAATAGTTCACAAATAGAGCTTGATTCATTAAGAAAAAACCATTAGCGTGATTGAAAAATTACTTTTACAGAATTTGAAAAATCGTTGACCCAGAAATAATTTTCAATAAATTATAATTTTATTATTTATAAAGATATATCAATTTTTATTGCGCATTTAAATTTGAAAAAGTTTGAAATTAAAACAAAAATGTGAAAAGTTCATCCACTTTAATATTTCTTGACCAGAAATCACATAGAAATCACATAGTTAAATCAGTTTCAACAAAACTGATTTAACAATCACAGAAAAATTACATTTTAATAGTGTAAACTTTTAAATGTTTTAAGCAATTATTTATTTTTACTTGAAAACTCTATTCCCCAATTTTTTCAAAGTTTAAATGTTTGCATTAAATTGGTTTATTTAGTTTCAGTTTGCTATTTTTACATGTGATCACTCATATTTTTTTAATGCTAACTAGTAAATCAAGAGACTTATTTATCTTCGAGGGACTTATTATTTTGGTCGAAACATTCTAAATTTTAGTAATTTTTTTAAAAAAATAATTTGTCACAATAATTAATAAAAATCATGGAATAAAAAAAAATGTGATTGATAATTCACATTAATCTTTAATTCCTTCGAGTTAGGAAAAATTATTCACATAATTATTCAAAATTTTATTCAAATAATTAGTCGCGATAATATTATAAAAATCATTGAATAAGCACTAAGAGTGACAGCTAATTCATACTAAACTTGAATCCCTTCTAATCAGAAAAATTATAATTAAGTGCCCTGAAAATTTAATAAGTAACCTTTAAAGTCTATTTTTCATCTTTTCGACTATATTGAAGAGCCTAATAGAAAAAGTAATTAAGTGATATTTTTAAAGAATTTGAGATTTTTTGTTTAATTTGAGTTCTAATTTTAGTTTCATTAAACTATAGAGCATTCATTTATTCTGCAAATGTCTCAATTCTGCAGATCTCGATGGAAGAAAGTATTAAGTAACAGTCTTTTACTGATTTTTAAGTCGCAGTTTTCAAGCTTCCATGGCATCATATACAGACTAGTGCGAACGCTGCGATTCTACTAAGTGTTTCAGAGAGAATATAAATATCGCCAAGTACTTTTTATTAATAAAAAAAACAGACTTCTTAAAATGTTCTTTTGCTGGTCCATGGAAAAACATTTACATTTCGTCAATTTCTTCATTCAAATAAACTCTTCTTAAACCAATTATTCAAATTGTTAAATTCTCATTAAAAGTTGTTGAGCGAGAGTTTATTATATTTGCTAACCATAATAATTTTAGAAGCGGTTTATTATTTTTATGCGTTTAATTTATGAACTACCAAATACATGATAGATATAAAAAAATTACATTATTATTTATAAAATTCGTTTGCACAAAGTAAAATAAAAGCAACAAAAAAAGTTAAGTTTTAGCAATTTTTATTGCTTTGTTTTATTATTGGAAATTGATTAAGTAGTTCCTGAGAAAATAAAATTTAAAAAAATTATTCTGAATAAAAAAAAGCAGTATTTTTTATTTCTTGCTAACTATCCAGCTAGTTTTTGAATATTGAACTTTGCAAAAATTTAGTAATGCAACATAATAATAAAAAATTTATCCCTTATAATTAAAATATTTATCAGTAAACGTAAAATATAATAAATACTAATAGATAATATTCTTTGCATAAATTTATTTTTTAGTTAAAGAATTTGATATTTGGGTGGGTACAAAAAAAAATGCTCAGTTAGTTCAGGAGATATTTCAAAAACGAAAAAAATTAATAAATACACGTCACAATCTACCACAAAAAGCCCGAACATCCTGACGTTTTCAAATCGCATATATTCCCTACATTTTTAAAGCTGCAAAGATCATAATGCATTAAAATGGTATATGAAAAATTGTTTAGACTTTTTTTAAGTGTATATCAGAGGGAGGGGCTTAATCTTGAACCTACACTTACTCTTAAAAAATTACATGAATATGTTTAACGTTACATAAGTATAGAAGATGCTAAAAATTTACAAATTAATGAACACCACATTTTGCATATTTTACTTTCACAAAATTAGAATAGAAAATATAAGTTATGGAGATCAACTTATAAACTTTAAAGTTATCTTACCCAAATTCACTAAAAAGTCCCTTAAAACTTTTTCCACTAAGCTCTTCAATTATTGTTGATTGTTGTGTTTAATGTTACATTTACATATTTTATGTTAATTAAAACACATGTCCTGCTTTTATCTAACTTTGTTCTATGTTATGATGCCATATTTTAATGAAAATGATTGTGTTATCTTCATTAATAAATTATGTGTTGATCTTTGTCTTTCTCTTGCTTACTCTGATGAATCTGTAGTTATATGTTACAAGCTCTTTAGTTCACCAGCTGAGCTATTTTAATTAATTTTTGTTTGATTTAATATTATTAAGTAATAATCAACCTGTATTTCAAAACAAACCAATGTATTAACTAGAATGGGAAATATAATTTAAAAATAAATTTCATTCTATTTTCTAAAAATTCATCTATGTTCTATGTGCCTATATCGGCAAAACACTCAAAAAGTAGTACTCAAAAATTATTAGTTTTCCACTTAGCTTCAATTAAATTAGGTTTTAACTTCAAAGTTAAAAGGATACTTTTAAAATGCATCATCATTAAAACTTCCGAATTTAAGATATTAACAAGTATTTTTGTTTTATGTAATTCACAAGACAAAAGTATATAGATGATTTAAAATCTATGGACTAAACACTTCAATTTCAAATGAAACCTTATTAAATACACCATTGTAAAGTACAAGCTAGAGCATTCAGCATTCATTTTCAACCTCAAGTCCTAAAGACAACATCGTGTAGGCCAACATTATTAGCTGGCCCAACTATCACATTTTGTTATCCTCTACCTGTAAGGGATTAAATTCAATATTGTTTAGTGTTTAGGAGCTGTCAAAGCCTTTTAATGTCATAAGGTCGACGTAAAGGTCATAAAATTACAATAGTGGTACTATTCTGCTTGAAAAACGTCTCCTCATCTACATCGTAATACTTGTCGTTTCTGACCAACACTATATTCGTAGAAATTTCGGAGCGTGTTATCTTTTGAAGAATGGCGTTTAATATAGTGACAATTTGAGCCATATTATCACAATCATAAAATTATTTACACAAAACTATGGTTCAACTTGACCGGAAACATCATTCGATTTGGCACTTTTATTAAATTGCAACTGTATTATGGTTCAACATTTTATTTTATAACCGGCATTGAACAGCTGACCCATTTTTTTGGTTTGCGACTATCAATGTTTAACTCCAGCTATCAATGTTTGAACCTACTCGAAAGTCGAGAGAAATTATGGATTAAGAAGATTCGGTGGTAAGAGGATTCTAGCCCATGATCCGTTTACAGCTAAGGATATTTTATGTAAACACTTCTGTCTGTGTGAATTGGGATCAGAAATAGTATCGGCCAGCCTTCACTGGGAATCAAACCTGATTCACCTCATTGGGATACTAATGTTTAATCCCCTGAGTTAAAGTAAGACATTTTATTTTAGTTTATAACAGTCGTTAAACATCAAATCCAATTTTTGGGTTTACGACTACTAATGTTCAACTCAGTAGCCTTGTAATTTTGAACCCAGTCCAGATAACAAGAGAACTCCTGGATCAAGTATTGGGGGAAATTTGCCATCCTGGAGGACTTTTTTATGGAACTATCCCGCATTTGCGTTACATGGAGGGGAAAACCACTAAAATCTCCCACGATTGCCCTGAAGTCAGGGGGACTCTAACCCATGATCCGTCTGCCACTGAGGATATTTTACGTCAGCACTGTGGCCCATGCGAGCCGGGTGCGGAATTCGCTTAGACCAAGTATAGCTGAGATTCGAACCCGGTCACCTCATTGGAAGGCGAACACTCTGTCCCCTGAGCCACCACGGCTCACAGTGCAACATCGACCCTATATTTTGTAAAAATATGATGGGAGGCTGACAATAAGAAGTACAAAGCCAATAATGTACGTCAGTATCAATGTCTCCACCAATGACTTTCGTGAAATCATATTCAACACTTGATATGCTCAATGATTTGGCTTGTTCTTTACAATTATGGCCTCAATATTTTCATTTAAAATTATACCGATTCAGAAATATCAAATCTACTAAAATGTTATCACGTTGCTTCATATCTTAACTTATTTTCCGTGTCTTAAACCTTGTTAAATGTTTAAAAAAACTGAGATAACAAGCATTTTTAAAGAGAAAGACAAAGAGCGTCGTAATCTTATTTCAAGTACTTCATTAACATTCCTCTTTTTTACTTGATTAGAATGCCTCTATGGTGAATAATACGTGCCCTGTGTTCTCCCACTACTGTGGTTTACATCCATCTCCCTGTCCTTCTACCACATGTTATGTCTCTTTTGACCCTTGTGGTCCAATGGCTCAGCAACGACTATATTTGTTCACTTTGGATAATATTAAACAGACGAACTGCTTTGTTACTGCAGCTGTGTTTTGTAATCATATACTGTGTGAAAAATTATAAAAGAACAAAAGCTTAATATTTTGCAGAGCATAATTGTTCATAACCGTCCCTTGTACAGAGCTTGGCATGTCAGATTGGTGTGTTTAGTATAATTGAATTATGTTCTTTGGATCTTTTCTAATTATGTTTATAGTATTGGAATTGTTTGTGTATGTGTTCCTGATTCTTAATATTTCTTTTGAAAATGTCATATTAATGATTTCGTTTAATTTGCCAGTATTGTGTAACTTTCTTTATTACTTCTTGTATTGTTGTCATTTGTCATTTCTATATTTAAATGCTCTACTTGTTACAAATCTGGGGTGCTGTTATATAAACTACAATGTGTTAGCAATTTATCAGTAAGCACACCAAACATTAGGCATTAAATTAATTAAACTATCAAATTTAAGATATGGTTTAAAATTTTAAAATAAGAGTTTTCCAAAATGTTTTTCCATTTACCTGTCTTGTGCACTGAATTCCACATTCGGTCCGTAAACTGAATTCAGTCCTGGAAAAACAAGATGAGTGTAATATATTATAATGAATAGATTATGTATAAATATACCTGACATACATAACACAGTACTTGTAAAGACATTTAAAAAAAAACTCTAATTGCCTTACATGTTTAACATGAAGAATGTAATCCTAATTTTGAAAGGTCGGAAATCTGTATGTAACTTTTGTCATTTTCACACAGTTTTGTGTCTTACTAGTTTTTTAGCATCACCGTTTACGTATTCTATAAAGAAAGTTTGTCAAAGTGGCCAGCATTTCAAAGTCTAAACCATTCTTGGTGAAGACCTTTTTGCAACTTGTAACGGTTCAATGCACAAATGTTGTATAAATTACACATAAAACATACATCTTGATTTAAAAAAATTTCATACTATATATGAGATGCTCAAAACTTGTATAATTGAATATAACATCAATATTTTATTTGTGTTTTTCATAATTCATGTGCACTATTCACTTTGTCTGTGCCAAAGTAAAGAAAACTTGTATGTGTAGATGGTTGGGAAGTTGGCTACTTTGACCTTAAGTAATCCTGCTGTTACTGTGTTATGTTTTCAATTGAATGTTTTCTGTGTGTAAAAATCTTTTTTATCACATTTAAAAATTTTGAGCTTGAAAATTTTAATATTTTCTGGAGATTTTATTAACGATATGCCAAGAGCTAATCCTTGAATATAAGTCTATTCATTTTCTCTTAAATGTGATATTTGCCATTTCTTAGGGAAGGGAGTAAAGTATTATTGTCAAATTTTCTGGTCTAATTTCAAAGACAATATACTAACACTTTCACAAAACGATAGATAGTTCTGCACTTTCTCCTTTGATAATAATAAATTTTGCATAACCAAGAGTACTTGCTCCTAATTTCTAAAATTAACTAAGGTGCTTTGTATAGGTAAATGGAAGTATGAGCGAGATACTCTCTCAGCGACCTTTTTTATTTATTTTTACTTACATCCTTTATTCCTCTATTTCAAAATATGGTTCGTATTTTTACTAAAAAAATTGAAACCTTAACTGCTCAAGGAAGCAAAAGTATTAAAGATAATGCGAAAATCCTAGAAAAGCATTAACGAGTCTATTTAGTCGCAAGAAGACCTTCAAAGTAGGAAGCAAATTCAATTTTATTTGCAACCATCAAATTTTCCAGATCAAAATAAGCTCGTAATTTTCCTCTCAAATTCATCTCTAAAACTCACGAGGCAATTGAACAATTTTCAATGAAATTATCAATTAATAGCTATGCATGAGATGCTAATTAAAAATCGGTAATCACTTTCAAAACAATTTTATTATTCCAATTCACGGCTTTAATATATTTGTTTACTTAGTTTCGCTTTGTTAATTGTAATATATTTTCAGCAATCAAATTTTAAATATCCTCATTTTTAATTATGCTCTCAATGCATGCAAAATCATTAAATATTTTTAACGAAAACTTGCAATTAAATTTATATTTTTTCCTTAATGCACAACTAGGTGGAACATTCAATGTAATTCTAAATGCACAACAAAGCATTATTTTTTTTTTATTCATTAAATTTTAAAATTTGAAAGCCAAGTAAACCATACTTTAGGACAAATGAAAGTATACATAAATGCATACCATATTTCGCAACAGAGGGTGTATGATTATTTTTTGCATACCCTATTTTTTTATTTTCAGTTTTGCATAAAAATATTTTCATAATGCGACTTAAATAAGTTAAATACGTAATTGAAAACTTTGCCTGAATCCTGAAAAAAATGATTAAAAAAGCTAGTTTTAAAAAGCATTTCAAATTTATTTAAAAATTGCTTTCAAATATATACATGAAAGGTACCCAAAGTGGCTCTCGCCAATCTATCCGAATTTTAATACGCAGATTATCTTTGAAGCTAAGAGATCGTGAAAAAAGTTCTATCAATTTAGAAGTTGTTCTAGAATCATAAGTAATTTAAAGTTACAATTTTTGTCAAACACTAGCATCTGATTTCTGCATAATTGACAAGAAGAGCGCTGCTTGTAAAGTGTTACTGTAGAATTTGTACAACTTTCTTGTAGCTTAGCACAGAACTTTATTGAATTAAGCATTAAAATTTAGCGTATCTGAGAAACTTTCGTTACAAAATAATTTTGAATAAAAAGTAGCTTGAAATAGGCTATTTTGCTTAAAATACAAAATATATTATTTTAAAAATAATATAAATACGCAATTTTATTTAAGCAATCGATTCTAGTCTAATCGTTTCCATAATGTTTTCTCTGACTGATATTAAAACTTTTAAACCTGAGGAAATACCGTATGTTTTTAATAAAAACCAGAATATTCTTACTTAACGAAATACTATTTTAATCAGTAAAGAACTCTATGTCTATTGTTCCTTTGGAATAGACCAGTGTTTCCCAAACTTATGACTTTTGTGTACCCTTTCTAAATTTTTCGTAACGCTGAGTACCCCTAATAAAAAAATTAATGAATTTTTTACTATGAAAAATCGCACAAAAAGTAAAAATCACAACTGGCTGTTGACACCATTAATTATTAACAGATAACTCTGCAAAAAATATCCAATAGAAAAATACGTAATCGTAAATTTTCATGGCTAGCTTTGTTTTTAAATAAAATTTTTTGTAATTTTCGTTTGTTGCAAGATATTTCGCATAAGAACGCGTATCCCTGCTAAACTGTTCCCGTACCCCTGGGGGTACGCGTACCACACTTCGGGAAACACTGGAATAGACAACTGGAATTGGCTCAACAGCCCTGAATAAGCTTTCTCCAGGATCCTCTGTTTTCAGCAACTGTTTCAACACAATCAATCGATCACAGCTAGGGTCTGAGGCTTAGTAACAATGGTTTTAACCAGAAAGATTTTCTTACAGCAGCGGTCTTCTTTCATACTGATTAGAGGACCAGCACATTTGAATCTTTGTAATTTTATGAATTTTACCACATGAGGTAGTCTATGAATGGTTGATAACAAGTCTTTAAATATCTTCAGCAGCATCTTACTGAATGTTTTTTTCCTCATTGCTGTTGAATCTAAAGTACTCCTTTCAAGTTTTTTTATTAAATCTTATATTCTTTAAAATGTATACCCATAACCAAAATGAAATATTCAAAATTTTGGCAAGTAGACCTAATTAGTTTCAAAGTCGTTCTGTTATTTGAAATATCAGCTTAATAGGCGAGTCCCTTCAGGTACCTTTCTTGTACCTATTTCTGTAGGCAATTTTTTGTTTACAGAAATTTTTATGCGATAAGTATATGTTTCCTGTTCTTGCAATTATATCTATTCCTACTTTAAAACATTTATAACTATTTTAAATTGTACAGAAAAATTTTTTCTTTTATTGCAAACTTTTTTTTTTGGTTGCCTAGAACAATTATTAGTGTGATTTGCTTAAAAATGGATATTCCTAACTCGCTTTCCTTTTTTTTTATAATAATTATTCGATAATTTTTTGTACTTGGGTATTTTTTTTCTCCTGCAATTTATTAAAAATGTTTTAAACTGAACATTTCTTCCTGAGATATTTGACATCAAAAAAACTAAGCCATTATATGTTTAGTCAATGTAAAATTTTAACTTTTTTTCAGAAAGTTATCTGTACAGTTTTGATATGAATGTTAAAACGATTACTTGTCAAAATTTTAATTTTATAACTCTTTGAAAACTGTAAATTTTGTAATATTTCAAGGAATATGAACTAAAAAATAACCCATCTTAAATATCGATTTTTAGTTTTGTACATAGCTGAATTACGCAATGAATTCTGATTTCTTTGAAATTGTTTCCCGAGAACAATTCTTAGGGTGCACTTAAACTCTTCACCAATAAGAAGTATTTTTGCACTTTTTTTACATAAAACTAATACTGTCGATTTTATTGTTAGCTTTAAAAGAGCTGTAAATTAGTAGTACGTTATTTATTTATTTATTGATTGATTGATTCACATTTAGTGTGTATTCTCAGTGTTCCTTCTTGTCCAACAAAAGCTTTTATGCTATACAACTGGATACATTTTTCATGATCATAGGGGTTTGTATTTTTGTGTTATGTTGCTGAAAACATAGCAAACATATTAGTGGCATTTCTGTGCTGTTATGCCTTATTGACTTTTTGCTCTCCCTAAACGATGATAAAATCGTTTAGGATTTGTGTCTGTACAGAAGATGGAAACAAGAAATTTAGAAACAAAAATAGATAATTTTTTCGGGGTATGCTGTTCACATGAAAAGGACAGAGACATATATATATTATTAAAAGATAAAACATTTTATGTTGTTTGTTTTATTTCATTTCACCAATCACCAATCATTTCACCAATTTCAATCACATAATTCATTAAAAAATTGAAAAGTTTAACTATGTAAGTGTCAAACAAAGCAAATACCGCTTGTCACATTTAAATATCAAATGAAAAATACTGCGAAATGCGATATACAAAAGAGTGCATTTAATATTGCATATTTTATCAATATTACAACACCTTATTTGATAACGGAGAGGCGGAACACTGAATGAATTGAAACTATGCTTGAGCACGCTTAAAGTCTGAAGCTATTTCCATAGCTTAAAATTGCATAAAATTGTATAATATTTAACTTAGATATATTTTCGCACAAAGGCCTCATAATTTCATAAACCTTAAGCTCTGTCGACTTTAATTTGTTTTCATAAGTTTTAAGATAAAAATGAAATTAAATAGAAAACAATACCTCAATTCTCCGTACAGCAATGTCTGACGCGCAAACCAGTCTACGTTAAAAAATTTACTTTTCGCTCCTAAAAACCTTGCAAGTTATATTTAATTTTTTAATTTAATTTAGTAATGGAAACAGTGCCACTTTTATCTAGTTCGGGAATTCAAATGTGTAAATAAGCACGAAATAAAAATGTTGCTTCTTATATATTGTACAGGTTAAACATTCTTACATTCTTTTTTACTTCATTTTGATATTATTCGATCAAGCGCAAAAAAATTACATAGGAATTAATACTTCACTTGTCTGTATAAAAAATTTTAAATTTCTCCTCTTTGACACATTTCCAATCAGAATTTCAAGATGACAAATAAAACTTACATTAGAGGACAAAAGAAGGGAAAACTTCAGATATTCTTATTGAACCAAAATGACAACTTTTAAAACAGTGTCGGGCTTTTCCCTAAATATTTCTGTGTTGAACTACTTTGGAACTGGCCTACAACGGCTTCACTTTGAAAGTGATGTAAAATCGTAAAGTAATTTATGCATTCTTGCTTTTGGCATGTACACCATTTGCTCAGCCTTCGATTAGATTTATGAAATTGTTTTAGTTAAGAAAACTCCGACAAAGATGTTTATAAACAACACTTTTTCTTTTTTTTTAACTAAATTCATTGAAAGATTCAGTACAGTCTAAGAAAAAAATCACTGAGAGAAAGTTTTCCGATATATCTTACAGCTCTAGTCATTAATAATACATAAAATGGAGAAAAAAATTAGGTTTTTTTAACTTGTTTTGAAATAATGCAAGAATTATTTTGAATTTATTGCGGAATATTGTATTATTTAGTTTTATTATCAACGTTTAGCAACCGATAAATATTCAGGATGCGCGGATCACAATGTTCAACTCTGTAACATCCTAATTTTAAACTCAAACCGAAAGACTATAGAGCTTCTTACTAAAAGCTGTTATGTTTAAGGTAGATGAGATGGTCGGACACAGAGGCTATACGAAGTTATATTTTTGAGAGGGGGAGATTCCCTATTTGCCGAATGAAATTTTGAATTTGATCGAATCATTAAAAAGCATGCAATTCATTAGTTTCAATAAAAAAATTATTTTGTTGCTTATATTTTCACAATACGTTAATTTTTCCAACAATATATTACTAATTTAATGACTTTATACTTAATTATTTAGTCAATGAGCTGCGATTGGTCAATGGGTAAGGATTTAAACTGAAGGGAAGAACTGGGATTTGATCCCCAATGTCGGTTAGAAGTCACCCAGCTTCATATCAACGAGTATCAACTTGTCTATTAAGTACTTAAGTAAGTAATGCGCAATGCTGACCACATTGCCACACTGAGGAGCCCTAACCTCTGTGAAGCCCTTGGAACACAAAGGGCTGTTGCGAAAATGCCTTACTTCTATTCTAGTTAATATATAAAATAATGAACCATTTGATAGATAAATATAAAAAATAAAAAAGAAATTTGTTCGCAGCTAAGAAGACAATTTTTCAATCAATTATGAGAATAATACAAATAATTTATTAATCGTCTGATCTGGCCGAAAAACGAATAGAAATGAAACACGCATTTCGAGAGTCATGTTTTAAAATAAAATTATAGTATCAGTAGTTAAAAATTTTTAAAAAAAAAGGAAGATTAAAAAATTATTGTAAATAAAAAGTTTAATTTATTTAAAACAGAACTTATTTACAATATCTTTGTTTGTTGAATTTAAAAAGTGAATGATAAAGTAGATACGGATACAGTAAACAGGACTTAGTACCTAATTGTTCCAGTTAACATACACAATAATTAATAATAATTAATAAATTAAATGAAACCAGCATATAAACTGTGTAAATAAAAACTATTAATTTAAAATTACTAATGATGATTCTAAGTTTGAATTAATTTTCTCCTTTTTTTGTAGCATCGAAGGGTTTTGTAAGAGCATCATTCTTTTCTTCAAATTTTTATTTAATATCCTAATCTGTATATCCAATTTTTTACATTTTATTTTAATTTCATTAAAGGCTACGTCCGCGCTGCTATATATTGTTCCCCAATACTAGGAGCTTTACAAATTTTTTTACTCCAAATAAATTAAAAATTTAAACGAAGTAAAACACGTTATTCATTATTTCATTTGTGTTTTCTAATTGAAATAAGAGAGACTGATTTTGAGTTAATATGCCAGAATGCCCAAAAACATTCACCAAATTGTAAAAATGTTTAAGAGGTCTATATCTCGGACTAGTGTAAACATTTATGTGTATACTATGGAGAAATTATACATCCAGTAAAGTATGCCTCTTCATACACTATATTTAACAAGTTGTACAAATCTGCTGTGTTAGGAACAATTTCAAGTTTTCCAGGCATGGATTTTTTTGCGTATATATACATATGTATACATATACATGGCCGTTCTCACTGAATCTCATATTTCTTTTCACGGATCGCATTTTCGTCGATGGTGTAATACTAAGTTTTTACTTAATGCGACTATTATTACTTAATGCGACTGTTTTACTTAATGCGACTCATGAATTTCTAATTGCCGTAAAAGGAGAAAGAAGTCTATTTGTCTCTGCGGCGAGCAGAAGCTCATTAAGCGCATTAACCGCATTCAGTGAGAATAGTCCTTTTAATACTAATCGGATGCAGTGAGAAAGACCCGTAAGGAGTTATTCTTGTTTCGTCTGCGTCATTGCCAGAAAATTGCCGTTTCACAGCCAGCGATTTACATACATGATCGCGCATCAATGCGATTCACCCATACGCGAGCAGTTCGTCTAGCAAACAGTTTAAAAACATTCGCATGCGCGTCTAAGGCAATCGCGCACAGTATGAATGCTCCCTTTAACGTGCAAGCAAATTTTCTGTTTTGCTCAGTTCTTACTACACAAGATACACGCATCTTCGATCGCTATTGAGGGAGAAAGAGAACTAGATAGAGAGACGAGTTTTTCGCGGGAGAATGCATTTCACCAATTAGTTTCTCAGTTTCTTTAGATCACATGTGTGTAAACTGCAAATAGTAATAATCCCCTTATTGGAGCAATAGCATATACGATGGCACGTGCCATCGCATTACGCTAACCAACGCACCAACGTATATTACCGTGATTCACGCATACGTTACAGTTCATCTTACATGTAGAAACAATTGCAAGCGCGCCTAGGGTTATAAACAGTTCGAATGGCCCATAAGAAAACATCTTCGCTGTATGCAAAAAAATGCGAATTTGGAGATACGTATAAGAAAATACTCCGAATACGTATTGGTGAAATACTCCGAATTCCCACTCGTGTATTTTTAACAAGAATTGAGAACATATTTGCATCGACTAATCCTGAGAAGATGAGTTAGTCTGAGAGTATTGAGAGCTTCGGGACCCAGAGTTAACAGAATCTGCTTCAAGCTGCTCTGACGATACCGTTCGAGAACAAACTGAAAAGTTTAATCGGTATCCATCTTTAGAGAATAATAATAGTAGAGGCACTCCTTTTTTCTCCTTTTGTTACTAATAAACGATTTTGATAGGAATTCAAATGTCAATTCAACACTCAAATACGCTAATTGGGGGAGGAGACCGATTCCATACTTGGAACTACCTGCCTTCCATTTCCTCCTTCTGTTCAGGTGTATGGAAATGTTATATGGTGTTTCAATATTCCATAATATTTTTCAAATTTAGATTATCAAATATATCTTTTAAATTCCCATGATGCTCGCATTAAGCACTATGTTTGATGCAGCTTTGAGATCCGTATAGTTTTCATAAAAAAATTGTAGTCGGTTTTAAAATCAGGGCAAACTAATTTATCTTACTTCAATGACTATTCGCGATCGCAACCCTCGAATACGCCATTTGGGGAGAAGAAATTAAAACAGAACCAAAACAGAAAACCGAAACAGAAACTAACGTACTTCCTTCGATCGAAATGGGCTGCAGGTGGCGTAGAGCAGAACTCTCTACCTATGGCAACACTTCGCATGCTTTCCCCATTAGCGAGTGGAGAGTCATAGAGGATGGAAGTACGTTGGTTTCTCTCTCGATTATCATATAGATTAAAATCATTTAAGTTGGAAAACTGTGAAAACTGAAAACTACATTAAACATAGTTCTAAAGAAAAGCATCACGGAAATTTTAAATATTTTTATTAAATAAAAGGGAAAATATAGTAGTACATTCCTATACAACTGAAAAGAAGAGGAGAGGGGAGGGAGTATGGCTAAAGGCATGAAACCAGTCAGATGGCGTAATCGAGCGTTGCGATCGCCCATGACTCTCTACATGATAGCATGTTAAGTGTTGTCATCATAGGTAGAATTCTGCTCTACGCAACCCATAACCCATTTCAATCGCCAATCAACAAATTAATGGACTATTTCACAGAATGTGGTTTTCGCATTTCTAATCACCGTAGAGAGGTAAAAAAGAATCTGACTGGTAAGTTTTTTAGCGAAAAATATTTTTCCCCAATTAGGTTCTCATGTCTTTCTATTGGTGATCTGAGATGCGGCAACCACATTTGGTGTGAATGCTCCTAAAGTTCAGCAGTTTTTTAAAACGTTCAAAATTTGGTATCTTTTTTCTATGGATGGTGTTTTCAGTAGAAATGTAAACAATAACAATCTCGAGCTCGGCACCTATTCTAGTTCCGGTTAAAAAGTTTGCAGCTGCTTACTACATGTTATTCTGATAGGCGATGTTTTCAAACGGATAATTTTGTTTTCAATAAAAGAAATAAATTAGATAATTTCTGAGCTCAAATCTGCCGTATTTCATAAGATATTAATGTTATTATGTAATTCTATTGAGTTTGGAGTGAAAACTTATTTTAGTTATTTTGTTATTTATTATTAAAAAAGGTGACATGGTTGCTAGATTTTGAATAACTCGCTTTTTTGGCAGTCTTGATTTGGCCTCTTTTCATAAGTTTATTACTGTTTGCTCTTGTTGCAAGCTGTGTACCATCTTACGCTAGTGTTAACAATTTAGCATTGTAAACACAAGTATTGTTAGCATTATAAACACAAGTAATAAGTAATCAAATACATTGTTTGCAAGAATCTCAAAACACAACGATGCCAAATGGCTTTAAAATACAACGGAAACAGTAACCCGGAAATTTAGGCGGTACCGAGCTTGCAGCGTTCCCTAGTGTAGAAAACACCATCCATTCCTCATTTTTATAAAGATATCTTTTTAAGTTAGCCTAATTAGAAAATATTCTAATGATTATAATATTAATATGATAATGCTGAAGTTTAAAGGCTGAAAAAAAGAACTCGGTACATGTGAAATACTGCAAAAGATATGATGCAATAATATGATGGCGCGTTTTTTCAATCTGCGGCGTAAAAATATATCGGAAGCAGTGACCCGGAAGTCTGGAAAGAGCAATTTTACCACTAGCGCCACCACCCTTAGCTTTACACGATCACCCATCCATACTCCTCAGAATATTCCTCATTTTTTTCACTTAGATTTGAATTTGTTTCTCCTGATTTTAGATGAATTTTTGCCTGTGCAGACATTAAAATAATTCATCAGTTGATAATAAACTGATATATAAAAACATTTCATAAATGAAATTTGAACACAGCTAACCGCATTTGCGCTGTAATCACGGAAAGCGCCATCTGCGGACGAAAAAGTTAAGCAGGTTAGTTAAAAATATTTTTTTAACTGCAACCTTTTATTTACATACAATCGAATTGCGGCTTGTTTCGTTTTGGAAATTTAAGTTTTGTTTACGATTGTTGAGCGACGTACTGGGATCAACATTATAGCTTATATCAATTTTCTGTTATTGCAATGCATGTAGATTGTAACTACTTAAAAAGAATAGAAATTCTTTAGTATAACAGGAACGATTAGCTTATTCTTTTTTTAAGAGATAGATTTTATTTTATTTTCTAATTTCATTTCTTACCTTTGGGGTAAGTTATACAGAATACTTATTATATCTAAATATTATTTCATAGTTACTTGCGATTTTCTCGAAGGCAAGGCTAATTCGATTTTATAGAAAGAAATAAGTTATATTTAAAGTAGTAAACTGTATTTGGACTGAAGAATATGAATATTTTATTCATTAAAGAATGCATTGGGATATTTCATATTATAGTATTATATGCTTGATAGATTTATATCATCTGATAATAAGTTAGATTAATTGTATAAAATTTTATAATTTTCTTAGACTTGACACTATAAAAAGACTTTTCGTGCCGAATAAAAGATTAAAAAAGAAATTGCTCTCATCTATCCTGTGTCCTTTTTGACGCAATAAATAGTTCATTACTTCTATTAATTGAGGCTCATTTAATTTCTCTGTGAATTGAAACCCAGACTTTTATAAAACTGAAGCATATTTTGTTGCTACACTGTTAAGTATAGAATAGTGTTATTTTACTGAGGATTCTTTTTAAAAATTGTAGCGAGATGGCTTATATTAGAAGAAAAATACCCATCTTTGCATTATAACGAAATTACCTTTAAAAAAAATAACGTAAATTAAGTGTCTAACAACTAATAATGAAAGCATTTCAAGCATACTGAAATATCATGTACTTAATTGAATTGCTCTTTGAACTGATGAAAAGTGATCTGTATCATAAAATTTGTTTCAGTGCTTCTGATATTTAAAAATAGTGTGTGTTCTCTTTTTTTTTTTTTTTTTTTTTTTTTTTTTTTTTTTTTTTTTAGGAATTGCATTACTGAATTATGCTTATAAGTTTATTTAAGCATTTTTTACTTCCTTATGCTATATAAACGTATTGCCTAAAAGAAAAAGAATATTTTCTGCTTTATCAAATATAATGCAATTAACTTTATGTAACGATTTTTTTATTAATTAGTTTGACTTCCTTAAGTTTATGAATGGGAACTAAAATTTAGTTTTATAAATAGCTTCTATTTCAATAGATTTTGAAACTTATTGTGACTGAAAAATAAAAAATGTGCTATAATATCTTAGGGCAAATTTCAAACCAAATACAGTGTTCTAGAGAAATATTAGACTGAGAATTTTCTGCAGGCCTGGGTTGGCATACGTAAAACAAATACTGTGAAATGACCCTTTACATATGTAACAAATCTGTTCTAACTCCTAAATATTTTATGTGATTAAGGCTTCTTTAATTCAGATATTAAATTAGTATTGAAATAATTAGACTAAAGAATTTTGTTAAGATTTCTTAAAATTAAGAATTTAAGTTTTCCCCTTCTTCTAAAATGGCTCTCAAACTTTTGAGGATCATTTTTCCTTCCTGTCATTTTGTCATATCCATAAGAACTGGGAAAATATTACAAATGGAAGTCATGTGAATAATGCATCATATAAAATATTTACTATGTTTCCAAACCTGGTATTTTATTTATAAGAGTATTCAAGGAAACTAAATCTAAATAATAGAGACACAGGTTTAACATATTTGGGAAAATTTTCTGTCTTAAAAACATGCAGGGTAATTCCTATTCTGTCTGTTAGGGTATACTACTTTTACTTTAACTTCAATTGGAAAAAGTTGTCCCGGAATTTTTTTTAGTCAGAGAAACAAAAGTTAGTACATAGAACTGAGAAAAATATGGATTAACCAGAGAATAATTATATTTGTCATCTATAATGAAGTTATGTGTTGACTTTGTTTTAAAACACTTAGAACATGGATACAAAAACTTTATTAACTGGGATAATAATGTCATTTAAGAGATTTATGTTGATAATAATGACGTTAAAATTAATCTTCTCAATTTTCTTCTAGTCGCACAGTTCTTTCTTTGACTCACTCTTTTAGTTTTTTTCACTCTGATTTTAGTTTGACAACATTATTTAAAATCCTTAAATTGTTTTAATCAAATTATTAAATTTGTATTGCAATTGTTTTTTTATTCTACTGGTATTGTAAATTTGCTAAAATTTATTAAATTTACAGTATGATGTTAAGTGAAACGACTCTCAAAGATGAATTTGTTAAAGCAGAGCTTAGTAAATTTGTCAAGACTCATATTGGTCTGGATGTATTAAGGTATACTTCTCATTTATTTGTTTATCTATTTATTTATTATTTATCTCTTATGATAATTTGTTATTGATTATAAAAAGATCTTTATCATATCAAAATATGTATAATTAATTTACTTTGGTGTTAGACATAAACTTTTTGGTGTCTGATGAACTCTTCAGGTTGGATATAACTTATAACAATTTTAAAATTGCTTAAACTTTTGTCTTAATACTATAAATATTTTTTCCCATTAAATAGCTTCTTTAAATTTAAATTGTCCTCTATTTCCTATTATATTAGGTGGATCAATGTGTTTTATAACATTTTCCATCTGGTAAAAGTTAATTGAAAAATCACTACTTTTAACTGTGTAGAGTATATTAACAGCAATGTTAATACAGCTCATATTTAAGCAACATTTCCTTAAGTCTAATAATTTTAAAAATCCTAAGATAGAAAAAATAATAATTGTTGCTAACTTTTTTTCTATTTTTTTATAAATAATATGGGGAAAAATGCTGAGAAGTTTCTAATTTTTAAATACAATAAAAAAATCTATTTAAAAATGTGTTAGTGTACAATTAAAGAAAAAAAAATTTCAATATTATCTAACAATTTTTTGTTCAAAATAAAAAAGATCCTTTCACACAGAGAAAATAAGTTTATTGCTTTATTTATCACCTGTATAAAATTAAATAATCCTTTTGTATAGTTTTTTACAGTTTATTGTATTTGATGCATCAAAGCAGACGATATTTATTAATATACCTTTTACATGTATTTAGCGGTGTATGTAGAGAGGCGCAAGTGAGGATATATGTCCTTGGTCCAGCATAAGAGAAACACCAAATTTTTAGAAATTAATTCAAAATAAAATTCAGAATACAATTTTTTTCCCTTTTAAATGCTCCCACTCCAGTTTCATTTACTAATTATAAGCCCTATAACTTACTTCAAATTTTTATTCCATTTACCTAAAAATTGAATTTTATATATATTATCATTGTAGTTTGCTTTGCATCTGGGTTTATTTTATCTTGAAAATTTGCCATACAGTTGGAATCAATAAACACTTATCATTTAATGAAAAACAATGAACATCTAAGTGTAATAAAAAAATTAGCAACATTTACTGTTCAATTTTAAACCAAATCAGATAAATGTTTTTACGTTTTCAAGTTACGTTGATTTATAGTTCTGAAATATTATTCATTGTAAAATTTACTTAATGAATTTCGATTTACAGAATCTGAACTTTTAGCAGTCCCAAAAAGCTCACTTAAGTGTGACATATCATCGATAAAATATGTCCGGTGGGGGCAAAAACTAAGTTTCTTCATAGCTCGGTAAGCCCTAACTATGCCTTTGCTTGTATTAGCAAGGTCTTGTACTTACTATGATAACACTTAACAAGCATTTATGCAAACCTAAGTATAAACATGTGCTTAAATTTAAGAATGGTTTCTGAATCTGGGCTTTAGTTGCTATTCTCAAAAAACCAATACAAACTAAAAATAAACAACTACTGAATATTCTAAAAAAAAGTTTTGCTCTAAATACGTACACTTTTCAAGCTCATCAAGGAAAAATAATTTGAAATATTCTAAATTGAGCTGTTTATCTAAAAAAAAAAAAATGCAATTGATTGTAATTTTATGTTCATAACATAAGCTGATTTTATTATGTTACTGAGGTGTAATACATTATTATTAATTAACTTAACTGCAAATAATATTTTGATGGCTTTATTCATATTTCACTTTATTTTATGAAGAAAAAGTGAAATGTGAATTGATGAAAACTAATATAATGAAAAGATTCCACTATTTATTCCATTTTCTATTATTAGTATGATTTTTTTTTCTTCAAATTACTAGTTGAGAATTAAAGATTAATGCATTCGGAATTTTGTTCAATCCTGCAAATACTTTGAAAGCCTCACCATGATGGAACTAAGTGGTATTTTGCATATACTTTTGAATTCTTTATAAGTAGTGGAGAACAAAATCACATTAAATCAAGTTTATTAATGTATGAATAATACATTACGTACTTAAATATTTTTACCACTAGAAAAATTAGCTCACTTGAAAGAGCAAGTTGGTATCTCTTATGCATATCCAATAAATAAAAGCATTTTGTAACTTTCTGATAATTTAGTAAAATTATAGGTTTTGAAAAAGAGATATTTCAAAATTTTACTTATTACCTACATATGCACTATTATTATAAATATTAATTTAAAATTGCATTTGTATGAGTCATTTGAACTCAAATTTTCTGAAAGTAAAAATCTTAACAAAAAGATTATGAGAGCTCTTTCTTGGAAATTTATACTTTCGTATGATGCTTATTTTACTGCTTGATAGAGAAAAGAAAAATAGAAATTTATATTATAACAAACAACCAAATGTATTGAAGAAAGTACTTTAAAAATTAACTAACTTTGCCATTGTAAAATGAAGTGCAAAATTTAATTATTCTACTAAGTTCAAATTTCTTTAAAAGATTTTATAACTAAAGAGTTTCTTTATAAATAATAAGTAAATGTGAAAATTATTCAAATAAACTTAAACATTATACTTTTTCAATATCTGTAATTTTTCAATGTATCAATCAATCATTATTTTATTTAATATATATGAAGCAATGAGTATCAAAACATGCTAAGCTGTTTAAAAAATAGACATAAAATTGAATTCTTCGAAGAATCAATGAGCCTCAGCATTTTAATGTTAAAATTAAAGCTCAAACTTTCATGGCAATATAGGAAATAATTATTTGCACATTAGAGTGAAATGTATTTTACTTGAAGCTTTTTGTTTTGACACGGTTTAATATCTTAGCCTCTTTTATGTCATTGGAATCTCATTTCTTGTTATTTACCTTTTAATTTTTCTAGTGACTGTATTTTAATATTGTACATTTTTTTTTTCTTCCCTTTTTTATCTTACATTCATACATGTTTTCATAGCTCCATTGATGAAATTGTGTTGAGCTATATTATTGGTATATTAGAATCATTAGATAGTGTAAGCTCCTCAGATGATGCTTTTGATGTGGAAGAATTTATAGAGATGATGTGTGCTTATATCCCAGCCTTCTCTGACATTCCCAGGCAAGTAAATAAATTTATTACTTCTAAGTCAGATCAATTCTCTTTTGAAGTCAATTCTCTTTTTTTTTCATAATTTTTTTTTCTGATCAATTTTTTATATTTTTTGTGAGATGGCAACTCTTGCTTTTCAGATCTTCGAAAAGTACAAGTAAAAATTTAGTTCCTTTTCTTCTATTTTAAAGCGTATTTTTTAAATAATTAAAAGGTGAGAAATAGATTATTTTAAAGTATGCTTGGTAGATTAATTTTTTTGTTGTTTTGTAATGGAAAACTTATCCTGCTCCAGAAAGGTGTTAGGTACTATGGAAAACTGAGGTGTTTTGGGTTAAAATTTTATTTTAAGGATAAAAACATTTTTTATTCGTATCTCTAGTTTTTTTTTTAAAAAAAAGAAGCTTCATAATTTAGATTTTATGATTTTATTTTTATCACTATTAAATTTTATTTACCTTTAATAACACTTATGAATTCTGTTTGAATTTTGTTAATTTTTTGTAAGCAAATATTCTAATAAACCTTGCTGAATGTTGAAATAATTATATAGGTCTAAGAGTCATTTGTGTAAGAGTTACAATTGATATACTTAGTGTATAGTGTATTAGTATTATTTTAATATATGAAATTCATTAAACATTTTCGAATAAAATAATGACATGATTAAAACTACATATTCTTCACTCTGGATAATCAGTAACAAGTTTAAATAAATTAAAGTGATTTTTTTAACAAGTTTGTAGTTGCTTTAGTTTTAAAATATTTCATTTATGAGGATGTTGAGTGAAGGCATGGAAAAAAGTGGAATGAACCCAGAGAAGGTTAGGCTTCATGTTTGATGAAAATATTCAATTATAACCTTTTACTAAGCAATGAGAACATAAATTCATATTCCTAATTTGATAAATTAGGTTATGCAAATTAATGAAAATGTCTTATGACTACGAATCTGAAGAGTTGTTTTATCAAGATTATGTTGACAACACAAATGTTGAGAGCTTTGTTTGAATATTCCATCATATTCATTGAACTGTGTGTCTACATAAGTCCAGTACAAAGCCTGTATTCCTCTATTTTTTAGCATTAACTAATAATAAAATTTTTTTTACTCTTGTTTGCTCTATAATAAGGTCACTTCATACAGTAGCACATCTATTGTTCTAGCAGTTTTGGAAGAGGTATTCTCATTTTATTGCTTCCAAATAAAATAATTTATAATAGGAACTGTAATATTGAGTACTGTACTTATTATTTACTTTTTTTTTCATTCCTCATTTCATTCTTTTGCAATTTTCTCAATGTCTCTGGAATTCTGAACAGGCACCAGTCTCCCTGTACTATATATTTATCTAAATACATTTTTTCTGGTTTATTACTTTATTGACATATATCATCAAACTAATATTTAATGCTACTGATAAATAAATCACACTTTAATCATAAATAAGAGATTAAATATTATACTGTTTTAATATCATTAAATCTATCTACTATTTTTGTATTGATTTTGTCTTGTCATGTTTGTTTGTGTTGTCTTGTTTGTGTTTAAACATAAACTTTGTTGTTTTAACGAGAGAAATTTCTTTTTGTTGTTACAAATAGTTTAGATTGAACAATTACTAAAATCTCTAGATATAACATGTATCCTGAAAAATTCTAATTGGCGATAATTTAACAACAATTTTCACCTTGTATTGACTTAATTCTTTTTACTCAAACAGTGTAAGAGAAGACATACACATTGAGAAATACTTACAGGGGTCTGTGCAGACATTTTGCGAACGGTCTGTTTTTGTAAAATTGTGAAAAATTTACTCGTAGTTTGTGAATATAAAATATACGATAAGTCGCATTCTTTCAACCAGGGTCCGCTTTTGTGAATTTGTGCAAATAAGGTCCGTTATTGCAAAAAAACTTTTTCAGGGAGTTTTTAAATTGTAAAGATATACAAGATTATGCTCAGCACTGTAAAATTATAATTAAAAAAATTAAATTTTAAAAAATAAACAGCAAATGCAGCTACTAAATTGGCGATGCAACATACAAATATTTGGTATTTAGCCTATACTGCTGAACGCAGAATATTCATTTCGGACAAATAAAAAAAGAAGCGTCTGTCAAAGACAAAATTCAGTTAGTTTACATCTGTCTTTCTTCCTCCCCCCTTCCTAGAAAGGGTTTATTCGATTAACAAAACAATAATGAAGATAAACAAATTTGTGAAGGATCCGATTCGAAGATAAAAACAGACCCTTCACAAAATATTTTAACTTAAAAATGGACCCTCGGCAAAATAATTTAAGTTAAAATATTTTGTGAAGGGTCAGTTTTTATGAAAAGATATTTTGTGAAGGGTCCGTTAAGGGACTCAAATTTCTTCTAAACAGACCCCTGACTTATGTTTGATTTAATGATTATCTTTAGGATAATTTTTGTTTAATTGATAATCCATTTTCTTGTTATAGAGGAATAATGATTAAATGAACTGTTCTTATTTTGTTTAGTTCTCATGTGTACGACTGGATGCTTAAACTTGCAAAATTACTAAAAGAAAAAGAAAAAAGAGAACGTAAGTTTTCTTTGACATTATATTTTTCTTTGTTTTGTGATTAATATAATTTGTGTTTTTGAAGTAGAAAAAGTTTTTCAAAACTTTATTAAAACTTGAATGTCCTCTTCATATTTAATGATAAAATTAGCAGTTTTGATTTATAATCGTTAAAAACAAAAAAAGCATATTCTAATTTTAATTGAGTTTTCTTCCTTTTTGTTTGAAAAATGTTCTGTTTGTTTATGATGTGCATTTTTTAATGTATCTTGTTAAAAAATATTTGCAGTTTGTTTTTCATTTGAATTTTTAAACAAAATGCCAAACTATTTTTTTTTATAAACTGTGAATTATGCTACCAATTTGATGCCGTCATTATGTAATTTAATTGCAACTAATTCATCTTGTTGGGTATTAACACTCAATAAGCTTTATACTATTCTCTGATTGTAAAATTTATCCTCTGATCGTAGCCCTTTTGGAGAAAAAAAAACCTGTTTATCATACAATTTTAAATATATATTCAAATTCAACCTAATATAAAGTTTACTGTTAATAAATTTGCTATTAAATATTTTATTAATTGAATTTGAAATCAGTTAGACTCACCAGTTTCTGTTTGCAATTTAGCTTTGATACTTTTGCATCTTTTTTAAATATAAGTATATTTATAGGATTAAAGATATGCTTTTAAAATAAATATAATGGGAATTTCTAAAAAGTTTTTTTTTATTTCCAATGGCAGACATGAAAGACAAATTTGTAGCTGAGAATAATGCAAAGAAAGAACACAAAACGAAAACAAGAGCTACAAAAAGAAAGAGTCTATAGGTCATTAATAATGCATCTCGCCCGCCAATAACGTTCCCACAAGGGCCCAGGAGGAAGTGCAAGGCAACGCCTCAGATGGTTAGAGTCCATTTCTTCTTGCAGGTTACATAATGGACAAAAGGGGCTTGAAAAGATTTTGATTCTGTACAGGTGCTTTGATAAACAGTCATGGCCAGTGGCAAGGCGAAAAAGGGCCACAGATTTTTCTCTTAGCCATGATGGAATATCTTTAATTCCTTCCAGCTAGTCCTTATCTTTTTTTGCTTCTTGCCTCAAATGTAGTTCGAAGAGAGATTTTTATTAGCCTCTTTGCGGTGTAGAAAGGAACTGGCTTAAGAGATATTTGTAGAATCTTGGCTGCTTTTTTGGCCACAAAATCTGCAGTTTCGTTACCTTGAAGTCCGCAGTGCGCTGGTACCCATTGCATGGCGAAATTTTTGTTGTGTTGGTCAAGCCTGTGAAGGGCTTAAGGACAATGTAAAATGTTGGCAGATGCGGGGGCTTCGGAGGAGGCAATAGCTTGGAGTGCGGCTCTGGAGTCAGAGAGGATAACTACGTTATTGAATTTCTCAAGATGATTCTGAAGTTGTGATAGAGCAACGCTTATTGCCGATACTTTTGCATCGAAGGCTGTTCTAGACGAACCGATCGGGGTGTAAAATGAAAAAAGGTTGCAGGAAACTCCGGCTCCTGCATTAGTGCGATCAGCCAATCTTGAACCGTCAGTGAATATATGTCGTCATTCGTGCTCCAGGTACAGTAAGTGTAAAGTCTCCAGGGTGATAGATTTTAAGACTTGGTCATTTGTGTCTCTCTTGGAAACATCTTGACATAGGTTTCAACTCAGTGAGTATCTCTCTTTTTCGATAGGGCACTATGATCTAATAAGGTCTTCTGTCTTCCAAGTGATATTTAGTTGGTCTTTAATTTCAACGACTCTTTGGAGGAGGCCATTCTGGGTCTTCAGCATTATACTTCTATAAAGTATAATGCTGAAAGTTTTTTAAAAAATTAACATTAGTAGCAAACATAAGCATTAGTAAATTTTCTAATTGCATGTTTAGCATGGTAATCATACAAATACTTTTTAGTAAATAAATTTAAAACAGACAGAAAAAAATTGGATTAAAAGTTAAAAAAATGTACTGTCTACACTTATCATTATGATCATCACCCCCCCCCCTTATTGCTACTCTTCCATCATAACGACCACTACCTGAAGTTCTATTTGCTATTCCATATTCAAGATGTTTTAACACCCTTTATTTAGAATGTCAGAGCTAAACAGTTTATTACAATAAAGCAATCAAAAAAATTTTTTTATTTCTAGAAAATTACTCCTAAAATGGATATTAAACATTTTTGCACTTTCAAAGCAAATATTTTTTTCATTATCATATTTAAATCACTATTTCTTATGATGTTACCACTCAAAAAAACAGATTAAGTTTTATATGAGTGAAGAAAAAATGCCCGGATCATCTGTTCTTATACTAGGTAGTCCTTGGCATAATCTATGATCAAAGAGATGGTAATTGTTGGAAGGGATGCTCATCCCCTAGAGCAGGGATGGAAAACCAATGGCACGCCACATAATATTTTGGGCACGCCACCGATCACGAAGTTCACTGTGAAGCAATTTACCAATTAAATTAAAATTCACAAAAACAAACATAAAAAAATAAACAATTATTAACAAAAAAATTACAATTAATTACCATAAAAAACAAGCTAACAATAAATAACTAGCAATAAATAACTAGCAAAAAAAAAATTAACAGACCAGCTTAAAATAACATCTTACAACCTAATATAAGTTATTTGTCATCTAATCTGCAACAATAGAAGTCACACTGATGTTACTTTAAGTTGAATTACGCGTAACTGAGACATTGCGAAATGTATTCTTTTTCATAGTAAATAAAGAGTTTTGAGTTGTTAGTATTTAGTGTTATTATTTTCCCAATAATCACGAAGTCGTTTGACGGCACGTCTATGACCAAACAAAACAATTTTTTAGAAAAAATGGCACGTTGGTGCATAAAGGCTCGCCACCCCTGCCCTAGAGTAATGGGGACATCTCTCTAAAATTTTTTAAAAAAGACTTAAAAACCCCTCAAATATAATTTTTATTTAAACAGCAGCAATATTTAGCTACATCTGAATACAATGCATATTCCTTGATAACTTCACTGTTAGTAAGATTTTTTATGGCATAATTTTCAGAAGACAGAATTAACATTGTGAGAAGGAATCACAAAAAATGTAATAAAAATAGTCAGAAAAAAGCACTGGAAAAAATTCTCTGGAATGAAAAAATAGTTTGGGTTGTAATGAAAGCTGACTGAAAAAGGCTTTTGGTGAGATAGGTTGTGTGTATTAAATCCTGCATTTTAGATAGGTCAATCGTCAAAGATAATAAAAGAAAAATGAGAAATTCAAACATAACTTTAATAACATTTTAACAATTAAATTAAAAGTATCCAGATTATAATCAAAGACGTAGAACATAAGAATATGTGTAAAGTAAAGTGCAAAGAGAGAAAGAATTTTACGATGGTATATATACATTTCATTCACTTGAAGTTCAGTTTAGTTCATTATACATCACGAAGATTAAAGAGAATACATCGAAGATACATTGAAGTTTACTGGTTCGCTAGGTCACTAACTTTAGTACTTGAACCTAGTATGTTGATTACACCTCCGACTTCTACTTCTTTAGTAATAGTTGCTTTAAAATTAACTGAATTTATAACAGATTCCATTTGAGCTACTAATTTAATCTACATAAGTGTTTATTTGAATGTAATTATATCTTTTTGAAATTTACTGAAAAGGAAATTTTAAATTTTATATTTTTTTTATATCATATATCTTCTATGACATTATCATATTTAATGTGACAACTAGCAATAATCTCTTAAAGAGCTGATCTTGTGATAAATTGAAAAACATTAACAAAGATGATAAAGTGTTCCAAAGCCGAACAAAATGAGTTTTTTTTTAAATCTTGGGGGAATTATCAAAATGAATTTCATTGAAAAGAGTAGAAAAATAAACTTAGTAAGTTTATAATTGCAAAACTAATTTAATATTTATAAAATGAACAAGATCTTTTTATCTTCAAATGAAAGAGTAAGGGGTTGCAATTGCAATTTTACTACAAGTTTTTCATTTGCATCAAAAAAGTTAATGAAGGTAAAAAAATAAATAAAATAAAAATATCCAAAACTGAAATGGTAAAGGTTATTAAAAGCAAATATAATTTTAAAAAATATTTTTGATAAAAGAAGTATCATTTTTAAACTATCTGGCCTAAATCATTTGTCAGAGCAGAATTTATAGACATTTAAAAGAATAGGACACTTTTCATTTATTACGTCCAACTCTGATAAAATAGTTAACAATTGAAAATGTTTTAAGAAGCACATTTTTTATTCATATTTTAACTCCACTTCCGTTTGTACTATTGATTGTAGATGGGTACTGGAGCAATCCCCACTTCTTTCAGCTTCAAAAGTTGTAATTCAAGAAAAAATTTGAAGGAAATAATTATTTTATAAATGAGATTTGTATGGGAGATGAATGTTTTCTAAATTGACTTTCTTAGAGCAATAGAACAAGTATGCAATAGTGAAGCCAATGATTTAAGATGGAATTTTGAAATTGCTGCCATCTATCTAGTTAAAGAAGTTTGATAGCTGACCAGATGATCGAGTGGTTAGCGTGCCTGACTGCGAAGCCAGTGGTTGCGGGTTCGAATCCCGTTCATTGCATGGATGCTTCTCTCTGTGTGTTCTCTATTTTGTGATGTGTGAATGTGGCCCACCCTACTAAACGGGTATTTGTGGCAGTGTGGCGTGGGTAATGTTGCTCGCCTCCGTGACTTAGGTTCATAGGTGCCCACTGGGTAACGTTAAATGAGTAACTCTTCCGCATCTTCCTAGACGAAGAATGTAAAAAGTTCAGTGCCTGCCGTTAGGGAAAAAAAAGAAGTGACTGTACATTATCAACTGTTTAAGCATGAATAATGTCTTCATTTATTTATTATATATGTTTTATCAAAACCATGATATGTTAAAATTATTTTCTAGCTATTTTAGTTAGTCTTATATAGTTTCATCAATGTTTGAAAATGTTACACTATATTATTACTCTAAAGAAAACTGACTGTTTTAAAAGAACTCCATGTAATTGTTTTGTAAACTTGCAATAATGTATTTATTTTTCTTTTTTTTAGACAAAAATAATTCTTTGGAAACAATTTTCCTCAAAACAACTGAGCTGAGTACATCTGTTTCAAAATGTAAATGTGGTGTTGTAAATTGTCTTCATCCTACTCGTTCACGTAGAAGATCTTATCACAGCTCCCATAGTTGTAGTTCCAGTCAATCAGAAGATGAGGAAAAATGTATCACTGTAAGTGGTACTTGTATTTTATGTGTTGAGTAATCTTTGTAAATTTGTATACAATATATAGGAAATGTTTTGTTCTCTTATAGTCATGACAATTCAAAAAGGAATAAAGAAGTTTACAAAGTAACCAAAATTGTATTTTATTAAAAAAAATTTTAAAAAACTTTCTAATTTTTTCTTATAAAACATAAATTAAGTGTTAAAAGCTAATTTCATAAAGAAAATGTGAGTTGGAGCATGTATTAAAAGAAATGAATTATGAAATACTAATTATTATTTTAAATTTATGAGCAATATTTCTCTATGTAATCTATTAAAAATATATGTATGCCTCTGATCACAATTTAATCATTAACACTAATTTAGTTTTTTTCATCACTTAATAGCTTTTAGTAATGACAAATAAACATTACATGCATTACTTTTTATATTCTTTCTTTAAAAAAATTTGAAAGCAATTTTTCCAGATTCTTACTTATAGAAATTTGTTTTTGGTGAAAATTATTTAAATCATAATTCTTTCGAACTATATTATAACTTTTTTTTGATAATTTGTAAACTTCTTATTCAAAAGAAAAAACTTGAAAGGCAAAGGACTGAAATGCTGTCTTTTAAAACCATTTATTATATTAAGACATTACTCTGAAGCTATTAAACAGATTTTTTTTTCAAGAAGGGAGTAGAATGAAGAATTCAGTAAGTAAGGTTTGTTAAGTACCTAAAAAACATAGCTTATGAAGAAATTTGGTTGTAAGAAGGATATGATTTGTTTTTTTTTATGTAAAATCTTGATTCGTATAATGATGGTCTTTTTTTAAGAAAAAAATAAATAAAAATGGACTCAATTTTGTTCACCAAAAAAAAAGAATCCAATATAATTTTTATGTTCTCTAGTAATGTACTTGATTATGTGTATATGGAATTAAGTAATTTTTGCTAAAAGTGTGAATCTTCTACTTCTCCTTGTAGTCCCTAATGGTCATTTTCATTTATGGTAATTGTAAACCAGGGTTGGGATTTCTTTTAGAAGACGTGATAAAAACAAAAATTAACCAATTGTTTAGCAATAACTATTAAAATAATAGTTCAAATTTACATCTAATAAAATTTAATATAAAACTGGAAAGTTTTTAAAAAAAATTCTAATTTATTAATAAATTGTTTTCGTGTTTTAATTTTATAAAGAATTTTAAAAATCTATGTAACCTATAATATTTATTGAATTCTTCCTTATCTATCCTTATTTTGGTAAATAAATAAAAATATTTACACTTATATCTAGATAAATTATCTGTGCTGTGTGTAATTATTTTTATTTTATTGAATTAATAGTAAATATTCTTTATTGAATTAATATAAATATTTAATAAAATATTCTACTGAATATTTTATTGAGAGATAGAACTATTTAAAAAAATATTACTTTGCTAAAAAAAATTTCCCCTGTTTAATTTTTATTACAATTCGTATTACCAATGTTTTTTTCAGTAATTTTAGATATTAATTGCTTTTAATTAATCTTCTTTCTCTAAAAAAATCATTTAGCAATAAAATATCTTTGACTAATTTTTCTCCTTTAAAGTTATTCTTGTAAATCCTAAACAGATAGTGGTTTAACATGACAAATTTTAAAAGAAGAAAATAGACATTCTTTTTGTCAAATAACCTAAAATTTCACAAAATAAAATGAATTGGGATCATAAGTTAAATTATGTTTTGACTTCTACAATGATCCATTTCTTTATATTATCAATGTACTTTGCTATAGTATAACTTAAATAATTTTATTTCACTAAATTAAATTTAATATTTTTCAGGTAAGTGGATATGAAAATGAAGATTTAGAAACACTTACTGAAATGTTTCCCCATCTGCACATACTTGAAGCTAAGCAATTTCTGAACATGTCAGCAGGTAGTTGTGAGAAAGCAGCACAGTTAATTCTTCAGAAACAAGAAGTTGGGGAAGATATAGATACACACATAATTTCAAAGAGTGCTACTCTTAATCCTCATAAAGAAAAATTTGTCGAAGATAAGCAGCTTAGGGAACAAATATTAAAGCGGTAATTATTGTTCTCTCTTAATTCGTTAACTCAATTTTCAAATTGTAAACTGTTTAGTTGTCAAAAAATAACATAACTCTCAACCAGCAATTCAACTGTCTGACATTCTTCAACCACCACATATAAATCAGATGTATAGAAGATTGAACAGACAAATGATCATGTTCTTAATTATGATAAAAGTTTCCTAAAAATCTTTTTGTTTTGAAATATTTGCTTTAGTCCACTACCACTGGAAGAAATATTTTATTAAAACCACAAATGTTGAAAGATTTACATCAATCAATTTTTTGACGATCAGCTTAATCTTTGAATTTATTGAGATTATTATAACATCCCGAACTCAAGCAATATTGTTAATTTAAATTTATTTTTCTCAAATATTGAAATATCAAAATGAGTAGTGATATCAAAATGTGTAATTTCTTTGCCCAGTTTTGGTCTAAGGATATTTTTACTGTAATTAATGGTCTAGTATTCAAAATATTTTACACAATGCTTTTTGCTGAAACCTGTTTTATAATGTTTTTTTTTTTTTTTTTAGTTAATGGGGGGCACTTGGGTCTATTTCCCATTGACCTCAGAAGTGCCAGAATTGCTACTCTCTTATCGTTACCCAGTGAGCACCTATAGCTAAGCCACGGTGGTGGAGTAGCGTCGCCCATTGAATTAATATAAACATTTTTGAATTAATATAAATATTTTTATTGAATTAATATAAATATTTAATATGTTTTATAATGTTAATAAATAATTTTTCCTTCAGATATGCTTACATTGATGAAGATGATGATGCTCGAGAACACAAACCAGTGGCCCCAAAAAATGTAAGATCTACTTAATGAAAACTAATATGCATATATATATTTGTATTCACATAATTATTATCATAACTGATTTATCTAGGTAGACATACAAAATATAATTTGTCAAATTGCTTAGTTTCAAATTAAGTGTCTTTCATACACAATTTTTGCTCGGTCTTTTTACTGACTACCCTGCAATTATGTATGAAAGCGCCATTATGTATAAAAATGGTATTATATATGGTATTTCTCCCAGAGACTGCCCGACATAAAGAAAAGCTTCCTGGGAGATCACTCTTTTAATAGTTGAATTGCTTGTAAATTTAATCATTTATGAGGTCTATCTTAGGTTGTGAAAGATTTACCTTTCTAGAATGAATACATGATACATGACTGAGTTGCCCAATTACTTTTTTTTAAATTTGTTTTAGTGTCACATTTTTTAGCTGCAATTTGTCATGGCATCAAGAGAGACTGGCAACCTATTTGAAAATATTGGAAATTTTTTTTTCTCTTTATTGATGTGATATGGTTTATCCTGATTTCTAGAATAAATATTTAAAGTGTTCATTATAATATTAAAAATAAAAAAAGAAGCCTTTGAATTTGTGCAGTAAACGTTTTTCAAATTGCAGAGTTTTGTGGAATTTTGTAGAGAGAAATAAATCTAGAGTTTTAATCTTACAAGGGACACTTTAAAAATTACTTTTAGAAATTTGCTGTGGGAATTTGATATTTTTCAGTAGTAAATTACTTTAGAAAGTGTAATTTAAAATGGATATTTATTAACTGTAATTTATTTTTTTTTTATTTATTATTATTTTTTTTTTATTTTTGCAAATGACAATGTTGAGTTTATTATAGGTGTGATGCACATAGTTCAATAGATTTCCTACTTGCACGTGTTTTATTTCAAAAGCATGAAAATAAATTATGACCAAGATAAAACACTATCTGAGAGGAATATGAAAAGTTCATTTTTTTGTGAGCGGGATTATCTTACTCAAATCAAAACCTCGGACGCTTATATTAATTGGTACATTACTTTATTATTTTTTTCTAAAATGATAAATAAGACACTGTACATAACTAGCATGACCACATTAAAACTTACTCAAACTCAGAATGACCATGGTTATGAGACAATTACATATGTCAGGATAATAACAAGCAGTAAGCAACAGCATTGAATTAAAACGTACAGCTCTATTTAAGCTCTTACATAATTTTCATAATGTTGATGCCAGTACACCGTGGCAAAAAGTAAACTATTATGATTACATCTGATTTCTCCAACCATACAAATCTCTAACCATTGCATAAAAAGACATGGTATAACTACATTCCCAACATTTGTAACCCCACTTCTTAGTGGCCGACCTTGTGTTTTCCCAAACAGGTGCAAATAAAAACCTCAAATGTAAACAAAACATAGGAAATTGCCTTGTAACATACATCTGTTTATCAGCAGAGTTTGCATTGATCAGCTGAACATTACTTGGGTTAGTTGATTAAACTTTTTTATAAGTATGAAATCAGTGGGAAAAAAATGTTTCCTATCTTAGCACTATTGAAACCTGCATTTTTAAGATTTTCCATTTGTAACAATCTTTAAAAGAGTTCCATACACTTAGCATTTTAGCTGAAATTTTGTCACAAGATTGTAGAATTGGACACTTTTAAATATTTTTTGCAGAAATTTTCCCTGTGAAATCTATATTTTTAAGACATAAATTAAGGTTACACAAATTTTCTGAGTGATGAGTCACTTGGAGTACTTTAAACCTTTCGATGGAATTATGGTAATTTTTATAAAAACATTCATGTTCCAGGCACTAATCTTCTCTATCTGTCAACTTAGTGATTAAATTTTAAAAATTAAATGCTTCTAACTAAAAATTAAAAGTCATTCAAATCTGAAGAATGCGAAAGTCATACTTTTCTTTAAAAAAATATTGAGAGAGAGATGTTATGAAATAAAATGTAAACATTGGTAAAGAGTAATCATATCTCATAATATAATGCACAATTTAATTTTAAAATAAGTTCTAACAATTAAAAACATATTTATGGAATAAAAGTAAACAAATTAAAATATTTAATTAAGTAATATAAAGGCAAATTAAGCACTTAAAGAAAATTTAAAGGATTTCAATAAAAACATACCCATTATAACTCAAAATAAGATTTAACATTTAGTTGATAATGAACTCTGACTTAAGGATATTTACGTTTAGTTAATAGAAAGTTATAGGACTTAAATATTATAGTGATTTCAAAAAAAGAAAGTAAATAATTCAAAATTTGATACAAATAGAAACAATTCGATCCGCGAACAGCTTAAAATTCACTTCACTAAAGGAATGATGTAACAATATATTAAAATATGGAAATTTTGATAATCCTGTGGAAATGGAAGGCAATAATTACCAAAAAAAGTTATCACAAAATCACGTAGGTATAAGATAGGATCGCCACAAATTGTGTAGGTCTAAGTGTAATTACCTCAATGTGGTGATTCAAGATTCTTTTGTTGTAATTGTCACGTTTGATTGGATTTTATGTCAATTCTAAAAAGTATTAATAAATATTTTCTTTCATCGATAAAAATTAACTGTATCACATCATATTTTATCAAGATATGATAGTTAAAGTTGAGAACATTTTTAAGTCTAATATTTTTTTAAAGATTTGTGATTTCAGTATTTTATTTTATTTGTTTATTAATACAAAAAAAAATATAATTTAAGTAATGAAATTTTTTTACAATGATTGTGCATTTCTCATTAAAGGCACAACATCTTGAAGTTTTCTCAAAGTTGTATATCCTGCTTTTAAAACGTTGCTTTAAAAAACCTGTTATTGCATGTAAACATGAAGTGTACTTGCTCTAAATCTCTGAATAGTGAGCTCAAAGGAAGAAAAAAAATCCATTATGAAGTTTATCCTTCTGCATAATACTTCAATTTGTTGTTTTTTTTTCTGAAAATTTTTTTGCAAATCTTATTAACAATATCCAGGTGTCAGCTGCAAACTGAAGTCGTGCATCCTTAACAGAAATATTTGCTCTGTGTAACAATTTTTATCATGCCAAGCACAATTCATTTGAGATATTCTTTAAAAAATTGGTGCAGAAGGAAGAACTTTACAGCAGCTAAAGTTGTTAAGTTAAAAAAGCTACTTAAATATTTATTTTTGCAAATTCGTACAGTGAAACCTTTATTAAATATTTTGTGTTATTCTCGTATTACATCATGATGTTTAGTAAAACAAGCAAGTTTTCTAAATGAATCTTGTTTTAGTAAATAGTGTATTGTTTTGAACAACCACTACTTGTGTTTTAATGTATTTATATCAGTAAATTATAATTGTAATTTATGAAAAAAACAAAAAGGTCAATTTTGGCAAATCAGCCATATTTTTTTCTTTTAACAAGAGCATCTCTTTTAAGACCTCAGTGTTTTAATATTATCTAAATATGCATTGTATTTTTAATAGTAAATTTTAATTTGATAGTTTAAATTTCTAACTTCATAGGAACCAAAAAAGCTTATTCGCTATCGTGATAATAAAATTGTAAGCATCAAAGGTGAGCGATATTCTGAAATAAGAAAAAAGAAAGAAGCAGAGTCAGGTATGTTATTTATTAATTCGTAGAATTAATTCAAGAATGTATTTTAGCCTTAGGTCTCCCATAGGTATTTCTTATTCCATAAAAAGTTTGGAATATCATACCTTCTGTTTGAATATAATTTTATATACTTGAAATAGTTTCAATAACAGTGAAATATAATTTATATGATCACAAATTTAAGGTAAACCTTTTACTAAAAGGGCTTAACTTCCTCGAAATTTGTTACGTGCTGTTTGTGTTTACAAAGCTTGAAAATTGATTAATACTAATGAGGCTTAGAAACTAATGTTTTGAAAAGTTGAAATGGTTTTAAAATGACTCTTTGAAGCTCTTGCAGTATGCATTTACAGCATGTATATGAAATTTGGAAATGATTTAAAAAAAAGGCTTTCACTCACAAAGCAAGTAGTTTCAGACATTATAAGACATGTTTCCTATTGAACTCAAAACAAGAATTACTAGTGATCCTGACTACAAAAAAAAACTGACCCAAAAATACAGAAATGACCTTTGTGTTTATCATGGCAAAATAGTTAAAAATGTTGCAAATTTCATTAATATATATTAAAGTAGGGAAGGATTTTTGCTCTGAGTTCGAAATAGTCACATACCAATAAAACAATTAAGATTGTTCTGCTTTTAAAATCTAACCATTTTATGATCTTCAGGCTTTTCCCAAACTTTAAGCTTGTGACTTTTTGATTAAAATGACTGATTTTTCCTTTGTCACTTTACTAAGAAATAATATAATTAAGATAGTTTTTATATTTAGCTCAAGCAATAAATATTTTGAACTATTTAGCTGAGAATGGTAATATTTGGAAAGCTGAAATTATGCTAGTATAACACTGATTGTATTAATTTTTTGAGCATGCAATGCCATTTGAATTTGGAACAGTATTTACAGCTTCCGGTTCTTGTTACAAATTCAACCAATCATGAAAAGTTGAAAGTTACTCCAGGTGAACGTATAAAGTTATCATGATGCAAAATAGAATATTTAATAATAGAAAAAAAAATATTACAATTTTAACACCAAATCAAAAATATCAAGCACTAAAACTGACTGAAATTTACCATTGCCACTTAATATTATTTTTCTTTATGACCTGAATTTAACAGCATTATAATGCAAATTTTCAAAATTAACGCTAAACTAGCTACAGTTTTATTTCTATAATTGTTGCTGGCTTTTCTTTGCTTTATTTTTCCTGTTGGTCCAATAATAACCTTGTTTAAAGACACAGGTATTTTTTTTAATCTTTTAAAGACTTGCAATACTGTTGAAAACTATTATTTAAATATTAAACTATTTATCATAAATTATTTCTTTTTCACAAAAGAAAAAATACAAAATCATTTGGAGCAAAAATAATTGTTTAACACTTTCATTTGTGTACTCTATATTTCCCTCTCTCTCTTCTTTAGTAGATTCTATAAAAAGTATTCTTTTTAGGTGAGCCTAAATGAAATATTTCAAGATTGTGAAAGTTATCTCTTCATTGAAAGAAATATGTCCATATATTTTTCATATTTTTGTGAACTGTCTCAGTCTAAAAATGTCTTAATACAGTATGACAAGTGAGAACTTTTTTGCACACTTCTGAATTTTCAATTGTTAAAATGTGATTAGTATAGCTAAATGATGTTTTGCTGAGTTGATGGGATAGGTGAATGATTTTAAGTTTTTGGATGTATTTAAAGTACATTTACACCTGTTTTACATAATCATGTCATTAAAAATGAAGTAAACTAATATACCTCGAAAAATTTATTAAGATCATTTTAACATCATTCATCCTAGTGAAGGCTTCTTAGCTCACTTGCCTGTTAATTTAATGATATAACATTATAATAATGTGTTTAGTGTATTATGTTACACAGGTATTCACCAGTATGTGTTATTGCCAACTAATCCATGGACATGAGTTAATCTAGGATTATATAGGATGTTATTCTCCAGCCAAAATTTCGCCAAAACCAAAATTTTTATAGTTCAATCTGACCCTCTAGATATTCTGCCTCTTTTGAGGATTTGGGATAATACTCATAAAATTGATATTGACAGCATAAATAAAATGAAATAAAATTAATTTAAAAAAATTAATGAATTTGAATTCTGTTTATTATATGAAGAAAAAATTTGTTAAAAAAACATGATTAAAAAATATGAGTAAGAATACTGGTAAAAAAGCAGGGGGGAAAATGTTTTGAATAATAAACATAAATAATAAACTGAAAGTTATTTTTTAAATTAATTTAAGCAAAATTTCTATTTTTTTAATATAGATTTCAATGCTGGTTTTAAACATAGTGTTATTTTTTAATAAAAACTTATGTTTGGTAACTTATGATAGATATTTAAAACAAAATTGGCTAAACGTGATTCAAATTGAATTAAAATTTAAAGTTTCATGATTTATTCATATAGTAATGATAACTCAAATTTTAAATTAAGCTGAAATATTAATATTAAACATACAATTAATGAATTCAAATTATGTTTAATTTCATTTTTTTGATGTCATTCAATTATATGGATTCAGCAGCCAAGCTTGCCCATGACCCCTGTTTTTAATTATTAAAATGAACATTTGTTACTTTCCATGCAAATATGGATTCATAAGTATGAGGTTACTCAAAAGCTCTGTCTTATGATTGCTAAAAGTAAATTTTTGGAACATAATCGTGACTGTGATGTTAATTGTTTACAATATCTTTAATCAAACCCTACGACCACTATTAGCGAACTTAGTATGTATAATAAAAAGGTCATATGGTGTTGCCTCTTATAGTCAGCAGCTTTGTTACATTTCCAGTAAGTAGACAAAGTTCTTAGAATTGTGAAATCCTATATCGGAGAGGGTTAGGAAATCAAGAGAGTTAATCAACAGGTAACTCTTATCCATGGATTTCCTGACGTGAATCCTTTGAGACGAATACAGTGATTCACTGCATTATTTTTTTTAAAGAAATTCTAGTTCTTTTAAGTAAGATTACATTAGTAATTTAGAAAGAACAAGTTTAAATAATGTTGATTTTAAGATCATTGTATAAATAAACTGGTGCAATATATTATGTATTATAGCTGTTTTTGCCCTTTTTATTCAAAATATATTTTTTTGATCGGATAAATTTCAAATAATTTGTAAAATATCCCTAGCTGTATAGATTTACTTTATTATAATTATTGACATTTAATGCTGTTTAACTACCTAAACTTTTTTTTTACTCCACATTAGGGTTGAGCAATTGTCAGAAAAATTGAGTTATTTCTGATCCAGGGTGCGTAGCATTTTTAAAAAATGCTTAAAGGTGCTTATTTTTTATTTTCGTTTTTTAAAAGCAGTCATTGGTGTTTGTAAAAAGTGCTTAATTTTTCCTCCCAAAATTAGTTTTCTTTTTCCCAATTTTCTTTACCTCATATTACACAAAAAAAATGGTTTTCACAATTCATTCATACATAATTTGAATCAACAATCCGTAGCATATGAAAGCGCTAATCATATTACATGTTTGATGAATTATTTTCAGGTCCACATGAGCGTTTTTGGTAGGAAGGATTCTTGCACTCTCACGTGCAATTCTTCTGCATTTTGTGAGAGAGTCTTCATTATAGGCTACATTAAACCCCTCTGAAATCAAACCAAAAAATCTCTTAAATTTTTGTTGATTATGAGAATCAATTTTTTTTCGCACGTAGCCAGAGAAAGTTTTATTTATCTTTTTCATTTCATCTCTGGAGAAGCGCTATCAGCATTGCCACTGACAAACCAATGATGCTTTCTCAGTGTTCTATTTATAAATCAGTATCATAAACCTTGAACTTGACTTGAGGATCATTTACTAATTATGTGTTTGCATATGGGTTCAGCGCAGTCATAAATAGAAAGTTTCAACACTTCAAAATTTTTGTCTCTTTTATTCATTTGTTTTGAAGAAGAAATTATTTGATTATTTGAATTATTTGATCTTTTTAATCGGAGTTTTTACCTAAGGGACTGCTCACTAATTGCATAAAGTATATCAATTATTTTTGTAGTCTTATTTTACTTACTTATTAAAATTTTAAATTATCTTAAATTATTTAATGAAAAAAATAAATGTTAAGAGGCAAAATTTTAAACAAATATGGAGTGAATGACTTTTTACTGTTATATTGAATGAAAATCATAAGTTATTCACATTTGTCATTTCAAAGAATTTTAATTCATATTTTTATCTTTTGATTTAAAAGCAATTGAAATTAATTAGTCAATAATGTCAGATTTTATTAAATATTATGAATATAGGGACTATATAATAATTTACTTCTGACAAATATGCTTAGCTATAATGCTCAGTGTATTTGCATTACAAAATTACTTTTAAAATTTTATTCAAGAAATATTAAACCATATTACAAATTTTGATAAAAATTTAATAGTTGCTGTTTACTAATTTACATTTGTAATATGAATTTATAACTTTAGTATGATCAATAATATTAATCTTGTAAATGTTTGTTGAGTATAAATTTATAAGTTATTTTATTTAATTCTAGAAATACACCAGATAACTTTTTTAAATTAAAGTTTAATAGTAATTTATGAATTAAAATTATTTTTTATATAATAAAATAAAGTAATTATTTATTTAAAAAGTAGAATGATTAACAAAATTGAATAAATTTAAAGTTGCTCTATAATTGTTTTCATTGTGGCTAATGTAATCAAGAATAGAGTTCTTTGTCAGAAACTAGCTATTTTGTCATAGTGATGTAGTCTTTGGAAATGTTTTTCCATTTTCTTAATTTTATGAGTTCATATATGTATATATATACATATATATATGAAGACATGCTTTCAAATAATTTTTATAAAATGAAATTATTTATTTTTGTGTATAAAATTTTTTATCACAATTATATACATTTTTTTTTAAAAAAAAAGTGTTTTAAAAATATTTGAGTTCTTAAAAAATGCTTATTTTTTGTTAAAAATTCTGGCTACACACCCTGTAATCAGTTCATTATATTTTAATGATATCCATTAACTAACCAGTTTTAATTAATATAATTCTTGAATTTTTAAAAAGGCTATGTTTGATGCCTGTCATTAGTGATATTTTTCATTTACCTATTAAAATCAAAATAAAAGTATTACAACAGCATATTACAGATATTTATAGTTTTAAATCTTGGTTTTTTTACTCATATGTAATGATCATATAGATTAAAAATAAATTGCCAAAACTGTAAGGAAAGGTCCTGCACTTTAAAGAATTGAGGATTGCATAGCAACCCACAATCAAAGATATAGGCCACTCTGGTTACTTTCCTAAAAATTGGATATTCACACACGTTCGAACTGGTAGCTTTATCTAACTTACCAAAATCTATATACAGTGAAACCTCGGTTCAGTGGATACTCTTAAGGCCGAAAAAAATTTCTGTTTACAAGAGTTATCTGCTTACGAGAAGGGTACCCTAATAATGAAGTTTATAATTGTAAATTGTTTTTAGAATATTTTCAATGATATAGAAAATTAATAATCTACAATGACTATCTACAACGATATTTATTTAAACTTTAAAAAATATTTCTTTCTATACAAAAAGAATATATGAAAAAGTTTGATATAAATACATAATTCTAGATGTAGATACAGACAAATAATTTTCCTATTAACACAGATATTCAAGTTAGTCATATGATACCGAATAGGAGCTTTTAGTCCTCAGTCGGTTTCAATTATTAGGTTTACACCCCCTAACACCTACCCATAAATTGATAGGAAACGTGGTTAATAACTCCTTGAAATTAAATCTCCCTTGATTCACAGAAAATTAAAAAAAATCAATGCTTACCTGTAAGGTATGAGGACCTATGGAGTTAATATATACACAATTAATCATTTGTCAAGTGTCTGAATAAATATTTCATTTGTATAAACAACTCGATGATTATATTTCTTTTTTTTTTTTACGCCAGCTGTGTTAAATACAGTCTTCAAATTTATAAGAAATTGAAAGAAATTTTCAGTGGGGGAAAAAGCATTGACGATTGCATTTAAGAAGTCATTTCTCTCTTTTCTTTGCAAAGATAAGGCAAGGTGACAGGAGAAAGATTCTTTAATAGTGAAATAGCTTAACAATATTTTTAGTTGTGAATAAGGCAAAAAATTTACATGCTTTAAAAACGTTGAAAAGTTGCTTTTTTTATGCAATTTAAAACTGAAAAAGTTTTTTTTTTTGAACTCAAAAAAATGGTGTCCGGTTTGAAGAGATAGAAAATAATGTTTCAGGGCGAAGAGGACTGTCCACACCTGGTTACGTGAGTGTCCACTTTGGGGAGAATGTATTAATAGTTTATTAAAGTTTTTAGAGGTGTCTGTTTTGCAGTAGTGTCTATAACAGGAGGTTTCACTGTATTTTGTTTCCTTTTAATCATTCTTAAAAACTGCATTTAAATAGGCCTGGAAATAGCTGCTACATTGTATTTAAAAGAATGGGCAATTAACTCTATAAAACTCTACAAATTGGTTATCAAATCATTACCTAGATGTACAACCATAAAAAATACCAGTTAAAATTCGACCAAACAGCCAGTGAATAATTTTAGTACACCCTTAGGAGTATACTGAGAAATTTCTTAGATTTTCTCAGTTTCTACAGAATTAATTTTGAAGTGCTCAGCAATCATAAATTCACCAGTGTTCGGTTAGATCACAGTTGAATGATACAAAATGACTGAATTGATGTATTTTATTAATTCATAACAAACAGAGCACAATTTTCTTTCAACTATGACCAGTAGTTCAACAGAATTTTCAGGGTGGCCACAACGGTAAAAATATAAAAAGTGGTGAATAATGTTCCATGAAGCTCTTAGATATTTGGGAAGTTTTAATATTTTTCCACTATATTTTTGAGGATTAAATTAGCCTGTCATATTTCCATTTTTTTAGTTTATTGACAAGGTTTATATATATTTCCGTTTATATACAAACACATCTTAGTATATTGAAATAGTTACATTAATTTGTTGTTTTTTTAAAAAAGTTTCAATGCCTTTCATAACAAATTATTTTCATTTACCTATTTTCAAAACAATTATACTTTTCAGTTAATCTTTCTAGCTACTTAGACTTTAAATTTTTAGTAATTATATCTATTATATTATACTATTAAATATAACATAGTTTTTAAATTATTGTCATAAAGCAGATGTTTCTTACTATACTAATTTTATTTTAATAAACTATCCCTGTTTATTTTATTTATAGTTTGGTGATGTAAAAAATGACTTAAATATGAAAATTCTTCCCCATTTTTACCTTTATTTGCGGTGCTATGATTTATATAAACAATGATTATTCATCTTTTTATTGTGGTTAAATGTGAGTAATGTGTATTTTATGTATTATGATACAAATGTTGGTTTATTGCTAAGTCAGTTGGCATAAATTCATTTAAAATGTCTGCCATGATTTATGCTATCCTAATTCTGATACAAGATCTGTTTTTACTATTAAACGAAACTAGCTTTAGATATATTGCATGATTATATTTGAGTGTTTGGAGCATTAAATAAATAAAAAGAAAATTTTGTTTGTGTTCAGTATATAAATGTAATTTGCATCTGTAGAACCTTCTTCTAGTCTTAGTAAATGTTAATTTTTTTTTTTACGTTTAGTAGGTAACATCTATTTTATTCTTTTCTTTTAAGAATTCTATTTAACAGATTATCGAGATCTTTGTTTCTTAGAGTTTCGTAATTTTGAAATATTTTTATTGTCTTAGCTTTTATTTTCATCATGTAGCATTTGTAAATTTGTTGTTTTTGTCAGTATTTTTTTTTATACAAGTGTTATTTTATTTTGTTATTTCATCTTTGTAAGTACTTCTTTAAGGAAGATTGATCATGTTTTATATTAAAGAAAATGATAATCATAATAAATTAATCTCGACTAATGTTTGCTATTTTGGTGTGGTTATGTCTCAAAACTAAATTTTTGTAGATATGTTTTTATTGCATTTGTTATATTTATACATTATTGCATTGGTTTTATTTATGCATTGTTGCATTCATTTTATTTATGCATTATTGCATTCATTTTATTTATACACTATTGCAGCCATTATATATATTTATATATATATTTATATATATATTATTTTATTCTATTATACTTAAACATGGTTACATTACACTTTAAAAGTACTATTTCTGAAATTGTATTTTTTTTAATAAGAAGTATAGTTCTGGAAAAATAAAGAGTAAAAAAGGTTTTGCCAAGAATAGAGAAAAAAGAAACATTTAATTAAAAATTTTAAGTTGAAGAGCAAAAAGGAAAAAAAAGGGATGTGATGCATAAATTAATATCAAAAATTTTTTATTTTTTTTTTGAAAAAATTGCACACTGCTTTTTTGTAACATTACAAAGAATTTAGCGTTTTTCATGCTTAGAAAGAAACTGAATATAATTCGTCGACTTAAAAAAAGGAAATACAGGGTGAGTTTAAAGTCGCCACATTAAAATATTTACTGGTTCATAAAAATCCCAGCTTGAGTATTCAAATAAAAACATCACAGAGAAAAAGTATCACAGATTAAAATGTTTACTCTTATTGTCAGAGGTCGAACTTTTAGTGTAGCAAATAATGTTTGAAACATAAGGTTTGTGATAGTGAATTCTTTCAACAGATTTTAGCAGACACACTTTATAGAAGTTCAAAAGATGTTCAGAATGCCATTTTTCTTGTTCAAATTAAAGATTCCACTTTTCCATCATACAATTTGCATTTTCGTGGTGCCTTGTTTTTTAGTGAATGAAAAAAGGTTAGATTCAAATTCTCTGTTTTTCATTGTCCTAAATGGCCTATCTGCTCTCTCCTTAGTTTGTTAATTTGGTGTTTCTGCATCGAGAGATGTTTGTAAAACTCTACAGTGGCATGAGAATGACTTTTTAGTGCTCTAAATTGAATGCTCATTGTTTTGGGAGAAAAAAGTTTTTTAAAAAAACATGTTGCCTTCTTGACAATAGACATGTTTCAAAAATGAAGTTATTACTAACAAGATCACCCACACCAATTCATTTCAAACTTCAATGCGTTTTCACTTAGATTATGGACCTTTATAATTTTACGTGTACGACTTTAAACTGTCCTATATAATAGAAATTTTCTTTTTGTAAAATTGAAATCCCACATTTCTTAAAATTTTATTCTAATTCTTAATAATTTTTATACATTTTTCTTAATTTGAGCTTTTGTTCTTATGTTGTAGTATTTGTGAATATATTAATGTTTTAAGTAATGAAATATGTATCTATGCATACACTCAGTAATATAATATTACTTTATAAAGTCATACTTTATGGCTTATTTGAGGTAAAGAACTGTGTACATATGTGTTTATAATCCTAATCATGGTTTTT